CCAATTAATTATTTCGATAGTTTAACAGTTTTTAATACTCAAAAACCCAAAATTGGATGTATAATTAATAAATTCCTACGTCATTTTCCATATATACTTAGAAATTGTAAACCTTACCAATCCCCCTTAGCCAAAACATGTGCCCACCACTGTATATGTTTTATATTTTTCCTTTCTCAAAATTGTACATTTAATGAATATATTAATATGTTAGACAGAGAAACTAATCCAGATTTATTTGTTAAAAAATTTGTAGATAAAATGATTAAATTTTTTTTGCTCTTCCATTTCTTAACATAAGAAATGTTTAGACATATAATAAGAGGATATGCAGCCGCATCCAAAAGCATTACGATAATTGGTCATTCTGAGGGCGTGGCTTTTGGTCTAATAGTATAAAGTCGAAAATAATGGTAACATACATCGAAAAAGTATTCTCAGCAAAGAACCATCATCATTTGAAAATTTTTTCTACAATTTTTATTTTTTTTAATTTTTTATTTATTAATAATGGAAAAAAATATTTTTTAAAGTTTAAAATTAATTACTTCTTTTTTTAAATTCAAAATTCTAAACCTTCTTATTCATATCTTTAATATTTGAATATTCATATCCTTTTATTAAAATTTTTAACTGGTTTAATCCTCATATTTTTCCCTTCAAGTCTTATACAAATTTCCTCATATTTTTCTTTCCTTTCCCTAAATCTTTTAATATATCTATAAAATTTTACATCTATCCATAGTATTGATCTATCCATTTGAATAATGATATCTACCCATAGGAATAAGATCATACAAATTAAGATTCATGATACTAAAATCTTAGCTCCTCTTACATTTTTCCTATCCTAAGATACCATCTATTTTTTATCCCATTCATAAATAATTTCCATCATTTTTCAAAATTCATTCATCAAATTTCATAAAATTTACAAATTTTTTAAAAATCGATAATTTTATTCTCTTCCTTTTAATTAATAAAATATTTACAGATTTAGAAACAATTTTAAATATCTCGATTTTCACTATTATTAATAATGAGTCCTCCACCAACAAAACGTGCAAAAATTTCCTCCGAAAACTCTCGCGCATTTTTTATTGAAAATATTCTTTCTTCACCAAATTTAATTGATTTACCGCAATCCGGCCAGGGACATCCAGAAAAATACATCACAAAATTAGAACAACAAATTGTACATAATAAAAAATTTCGTTACACTAAATGCCACACAAAATTCCAAATCAAGGATGTTCCCGCAGACCCCGAAGGTCTTCTCGCTGGTATATTCGCTTATTGTATTGATTCAGCAATTGAAGAAAGTCGTGAGAAAGGTTATGAGGCAGATCATTTAGGGTGTATTATTAGCAGCGAATTACTCGATCCGGCTGTGTGGATTCCTATTAGACAACTTAATGACAACACTGTTGATTCCATTTTAAATCAGTTCCTAAAAGTTGGTCAAAGTAAAAAACAACAAGGAACAACACTGTGGGGAAAACCCTTTGATGTAAAAGTAACTACACTTGATATGAGAAATCTACCTGAACGTCTAAGGATTGTTGGAGGTCGTAAAAATGCTACCACACATCACCGAATTAATCAGCAATGTTTGATTAAGGTAGGAGATTGAAAATTAAAAAAAACACAGGGTTTTTTAGATCAATAACATTGACGGCAAAAATCATTGCCTTTTCTTTGCTTTACAAGCAACTCTTGTTTTCAACATAGGAGGACTCTCCCGCTCCCAATTTTACAATTATTTGCACGGCCGCTATGGATCTAGAAATAAATTTAAGAAGGAAACTTATGAACTTATTAAAGAAGTTGGAGCTACATTTGGCTTAAAAGAATATGCGGCAGAGGACTGGGTTGGACCAGTAGTTGATTATTGGAACAACAAATATAATGGAAAATTTACATTTAAAGTCTTTATTTTTGGTTCATCAGGGAACTACAAGCCAAAGTATAAATATGGCCCCGAAATTTATGATACCCCTATAATTCTTTATCACGACAACAACCATTTTGATGGTGTTCAGAAAGTTGGAAATATTTTTGGTCAATCTTATTGCCTTTCGTGTGAAATGGTTTACAGCAGACCTCAGGATCATAATGCTAAATGTCTTTCACGTTGTTTAAAATGTTCACAAATGGGACCAAAGTTCCCCTGCAAAAAGGAAAATTTTCACAGGTATTTTAAGTAACTAATTTTTATTAATAAATTTTTAATTATTCAGAAAATGCAAAGATTGCTGCAAAAATTTTGAAAATATAGATTGCTTCTTACATCATTTAAATAGTGGATTTTGCAAAAATTCTAAACAATGTGAAAAATGTGGTGAAATTTATAACTATCATGATAACACCAAAAATGGTCGCAAAGGACATGTATGTTTTGAAAAATATTGTGGGAAATGCGGGGATTATCACGATCCAAAAAGAGGGTGCTACATCAAGCCTTTAAAATCTAAACAACGGGATCCATATCGATTAGTGGCATTTGACTTGGAGACAATGCAGCACAGAATTACAAATCCTGCAAGACAACAAAGAATTCATGAGACCAACTTTATTGCTGCAAAGATTGTCTGTCCAAAATGTATTACAACAGGGGAATGGAAAAGAAGTTTAAAAAATAAAAGTTGCAAAGTTTGCGGCCCCCACCGCACCATTACATTTTCACATCAAAATTACAATGATACAACTACTGATCACAAAATTATTTCACAAAATCCACTAGAAGCTTTTGCCCTATGGGTACTATACGATCTTCCAAACAACTATGACACCTACATCTACTCCCACTTTGGTGGACGTTTCGATATGGTTCTGGTCTTTGAAAAATTATACAACCAAAATTTAAATCCCGAATTAATTATGAAAGGCAACAAACTTTATGAAATGAAAGTAGCGAAGCGACCAAATTCGAATCCAAATATTGTATTTCGTGACTCCTATAATTTAATGCCTATGGCTCTAGCAGCACTGGTCCCAACATTTGGCTTAGAAGTAGAAGACAAGCCATTTTTCCCGCATTTATCAAACCGACCAGAGAACTATGGAAAAAGAATATTCCCAACAAAAGAAGATTATTTGGCTGATGGAATGATGCCCACTAAAAGAAGAGAATTTGATAATTGGTATGAAGAGAACAAACACACTCCCTTCTTATTGGATGAAGCGCTGGCAAGCTACTGTACTAATGATGTTGAAATATTGATGTGCGCGCTTATAGCCTTTAGAAACGAATTTTTTGAAACAACAAAGAGAGCTTCGCATAATGGAATTGATGCTTTGAGGGAGTGTATGACTATTGCAAGTGCGTGTATGAAGCATTTTCGCACCAACCATTTAGAGAAGGAACATCTGGCAATAGTCCCTGAAAGAGGATATGAAAATGCGGATAACCAAAGTCTTTTGGCATTGAAGTTCTTCCAGTGGTACAGAGAGGAAAACAACGTAGAAATTCAAACAGCACACTGGAAAGGTGAAAAGGTGATTGGAAAATATAAACTAGATGGGTGGATAGAAGAAGAACAGTTGGGCATAGAAGTTAATGGGTGCGCTTGGCATGGTTGTAAATATTGTTATCCACGTGACAACATGATTCTACCCAATGGATTAACAGCAGGAAAGAAACGACAAAAGGATAAAGAAAGAATGGAATATATTTTGACCCAAATACCAGAAGTAAAAGTTTATTGGCAGTGTGAAATAGAAAAAATGTTAAGAAGAGATAGAGAAATGAAGAAGAAGTTTGATAATTATTTGGATGAAGGTCCTTTGGAAATTAGAGATTGCTTTTTTGGAGGGCGCACAGGACCGTTGAAACTTTTCCATAAGGCCAAAGAAGGAGAAAAAATATCCTATTATGATGTAACTTCGCTTTATCCGTTTACGAATTTTATCACCAACTACCCTATTGGACACCCTATTGTCCACAATTTAAATGAAGAAGTTAATTGGACAACATCGACAGATAACAAATATCAGCTGGCACTCTTGAAAGTATTTGTTATTCCACCAAGAAATATTGATATTCCTATTCTTCCTGTGAAATTAGATGAAGAAAGACTACTTTTCCCGCTGTGTGCCAAATGTGCTAAAATGTACCCAGATGGAGGAAGAAATGAATTTTATAATTGTCAACATAGTGATAGACAACGAGGATGGGTAAGCACGTGCACTTCAATTGAATTAAATGCAGCATTGGACGAAGGATATATTGTCACCAAAATATATCGGGTATTAGAATACACTCAGTCAGACAACGAGCTTTTCCGTCCATATATGCGGGAATTTCTTGCCCATAAAATCCACGCTTCCGGTTTTGATGAAAGGATAAGAGGAAATTTAGAAGATGAAGAGAAATTTGTGAAAGAGTGTTGGGAAATGTTTGAAATGAAGATAGAAAGGGAGAAAATGATACCAAATAAAGGAAAGAGGGCAATTGCAAAGCTAGCTGTAAATAATCTCTGGGGACGTTTTTCACTGAGAAATCAAGGCTTTACTCAAACGCACATCACCGACGACCTAGCTGAGCTTGGAGAGTATATTCACAACAATTCTATAGAAGTTGCAGCAATCGAAGAACTAAATAGTGAGACGATGATGATCCGGTATTCAAAGAAGAAGGAATGGATTGAAGAACATGACAGCTCAAATGTGGTGATATCTTTGTGGACAACATCAGCTGCGAGGTTACACCTGTTGAAACTCATGCAGAAAGTGGTACGAACACCTGGGTGTTCACTACTTTATACTGGTATTTTTTCTTAATCTTTATTTAGAATTTATTTTTGTTCTTCAGACACTGACTCACTGATCTTCGCCCACCCCGAGAACAACAATCCACTTGAACTCGGTCCACATCTTGGCGATTTGACTGATGAATACCCGCAGCATCACATTCTTGAATATTGCAGTGGTGGCGCAAAGCAATATGGATTGAAATTGAGAAGGAAGAATGGAAATGACGACTATGAATATGTTTTAAAGGTGAGGGGAATGACACTTAATTATGACGTTATGAACAACCAGAATCTAAGATATGAAACCTTTAAAGATACTGTTATTAATTTTGTTAAAAATGGTGATCGTGACCCTATATGTGTAATCTACCCCAATTTTTTACGCCCTTCAGTTGTAAATAGTTCCGTTACCTCCCAACCCTTTCATAAAATGTATAAACCTTTTGTCGGCAAGGGCATCATTCGCCCGAGCGATTTCTCTGTTTTAAATTTCGGCTATGTATCACAATGATCTTTAATTTTTATATTGTATTCTCTTTTTACCTTATATTGTCTCTATCTATTTTGATTATATTTTTATTTACTATTTTTCTTAGCTATATATTTTATCGTTTCACTTTATTTAGAAAATTTTTCGAATATTTCATAATATTTATTTATTAAAAATTTTACAAATGGAAAATACTTTTTTAAAAAAATTAAGGAGTGGAAAATACTTTTTTGAAAAAATTAAAGAATGGAAAATACTTTTTTGAAAAAATTAAGGAATCGAAGATACCTATTTTAGGGGTAAAAACACATAATTAGTGAATAGAAGATACTATTTTGAAAAAATTAAGGATTAGAAGATACTATTTCGAAAAAATTAAGGAAGAGAAGATACTATTTTGAAAAAATTAAGAAATAGAAGATAAAAATTAAATTTAAGAAATCAAAATTAAGAAAAAGGAAATACTATTTTGAAAAAATTAACAAGTGAAAGATATCAATTTTAGGGGTAAAAAAGCATAATTAGTAAAGAGAAGATAAAATTTTGAAAAAATTAAGGAAAAGAAGATGAATTTTACTGTTTTTTGGTGTTTTTTAGTAAAAAATATGCAAAAATAGGCTAAAATCATCGGATATAATGCACGTGCTTTATATGCGCGTGTGTTTTTCGTATGCGCGTGTTTTGCATGCGCGAACCTTGTGGATATAATCTAAGTCATTGATTAATTCTTGTCGTATCCGAGTTGAAATTGAGAAGAAATATGCAAAACACAACAAGTATAAATTTTAATCATACCTTGACTTAGCCTTATATATTAAAAATTTTTACGTTTAGGACCAATTTTTATAGACCATTTACATAGCCCTTAAGGAAAAAATAAATATACTACATCAAAACTTTTTCATAAAAAATATAAACTTCAAAGTTGCCATGTCTCTTAAACCTATAGATTTAAGAACCTATTTTTTCTAACTATTTACACCGCCCTTAAGGAAAATATATATATAATACTCTAAAACTTTTCATAAAAATATAAACTTAAAGTTGGCAAAGTATCCTACACCTATAGATTAAATACCTAACTCTTGATTAGCTAACTTAGTTAACAATGTTGCCTTACTTATGTTATTGTATCATTACACGTTAGTCCAATAAATCTTCAAAATTTCATAATATTTATTTATTTTAAATAAAAATTAACAATTGAAAAATACTTTTTTGAAAAAATTAAGGAATGGAAAATACTTTTTTGAAAAAATTAAGGAATGGAAGTTATCGATTTTAGGGGTAAAAACACATAATTAGTGAATAGAAGATACAATTTTAAAAAAATTAGTGATTAGAAAATACTATTTTGAAAAAATTAAGGAAAAGAAGAGACAAATTTAATTTTAGAAAGCAAAATTAAGAAAAGGGAAATACTATTTTGAAAAAATTAACAATTGGAAGATATCGATTTTAGGGGTAAAAAAGCATAATTAGTGGATAGAAGATACAATTTTGAAAAAATTAAAGAAAAAAAGATAAAATTTAATGTTTTTTGGTGTTTTTTAGTAAAAAATAGACAAAAAAGTGGTAAAAATGTATATATGCGCATGTAAATTCTATGCGCGTGTATTTCATCCGTGTAAAAAATCACCATCCGTGCATGTAGTCAAAGTCATCTACCGATTGGCTAAATTTTCTTCCTCCATAACAAAGATTATCATCGTAGTCGGAAAGAGGTACATTTGATGTTACATCAAAATCTTTTTCAGATTGTTGTGAAGTTGACTGAGTTGTTTTATCAATAAAAATATTTGCCATCCATCCAGTTAAAGGTTCTTCCTCCGCTAATTCTAACAATTCCAAAGGGTAATATCTGTCTTCATGAGTATTTTTTTGAACTACACACAGGTGATATGGGTGATTAAGTCGTATACGATGCCGGGCGTAAAAATGTGCTGCGACGTTAATGTTAAAAGGTGATGAAAGTCGTCCATAAGCAAGAATACTATTCGCTCCATTTCTACTCAAGTCGTCAAAAAATAAAGTTTTGCTCATTCCGTTAATGTCTAAATAAGTTGTTTTCAATTTCTTCCCCTTTAGCTGTTTTAAAATTTTATCACGATTCGAAGGGTGAATGAGTTGATAGCGCAGTGAGGAAACACTACATTTTAAAATTTTAGCAATTTCATCAATAAGGAGAACCATTTTATTAATTTGAGAATAATTGGAAATACAAAAATTTTGGAAAATTTATAAAATGATTTTGGAAATATGAAAGGATTCTAAAACCTTTCCTACCCCCTACCCCTACACTAAAGACATACACCATCCGAATTCCTCCCCCTACCCCGACAATCTTAAGCTTTATATGACTTCCACTCAAATATAAAAATCATTTAGAAAATTTGCAAAAAATAATGAATCAAATTATTCCTGAATTTAATCCTTCCATTCCTCCACCATCTCTTCCTCTGAAAACAGTGACGGAACAACCATCACCACCTCAGACTGTTCCTTTAAAGGCAGTTATGGAACAACCATCCCCACATACGGCTCTTCCTTTGAATACAGAGAAAACGGTACAACCACCAACAGCTTTTCCAGAAAAGCTTCTTTGGAAACTTGTAAAAGGGAAAACTGTTCTGCAATATCACCTTTGCTATGGTTATTTATTATTTTATATATAAATTTTAATTTAAAACTTTAGCATGTCAGAATCGACTCTTCAATTCAAAAGACAAAATAGTTCGCAATGGTGATAGAGTGATCATAAAGATTGAATTATGCGACAACTGTGTCAAAAATAACTGCGAAGCAACTGATTTGCTATCAAACAAAAGGAGGAAGATTGAAAAGAAAACTTAGAAATAAACTCGATATTGAAATAAATTTTGAAATTTAATGTAGCTATTTTAACATTAAATAAATATTTTAAAAAATATAATTCTTTATTTATTTTGACGGCCCCTTATTAGTTGATCATTTCCAATCAAAATAAAATTAGATATAATTATTTAAGAAATAAAAAATATTGTTCTTTAAATCCTCTTCATATTTTAATAGCTATTATTCCACCTAATTTATTTATATTTTTCCTTATTTTCTTCCTTATTCTTACTCTTTTCACTTTAAATAATTTTCCTTTTCTCTCTTTAGTTCGAACATCTGGCTTGTTTTGACCTTTATAATTGACGAGAAATATATGCCATCCTAGAGTCGAATATTTAATGACTGAAGAGAAGGGTTTGGATATATTTTGAAAATAAAAAACAAAGAAATAAAACATCTGTATTTTTTAGCCTTTACCACTTAATGAGTGATTGATCTGGCTCAAAGTTCATTTATTGGTCAAAAAGAATAGAAATGGGTGCAAATTTAAATAGACCATAGAATTTGTATAGTAATAAACTAAAGGAGATAAAAAAATGCTTTCATAACTGTTTGTCACTTTTAGGACGAAATAGGTATATATTTTTTATAAATTATTGAAATTTTATAGCCAATTCATCACCTTCCTCATCCTTTTTCATTTTTTAGAATTTAATTTAACTTGTATGTTTTGGTTCTAATATATCGAAACTTTCAAACTTCATTTACTGAAATGAGAAAAAGTGTCACGTGACGTGAAGAGTAGAAAATTTTTAATTAATACCCAATAATTTAAAAATAAACCAAAATTTGACACCCTTCATTATGTATTGTCAGGATTCTCATCGGAAAAACGTTAATTAAAGTACAAAAGGATTAATTTATAAATAAATTGTGGTAAAATCCTCAAAATATGTGTACGCTACAAAAATACGATTTAATAATTTATCATTGCTCAAGACACCTATATTTCTCCCCATATGCCTTTTTCAGCTCCGTAGGCGAAAATTTTAAGATTTTTGGGGTCCATGAAACAGATAATAGCCCTTTTTCAGCACCCCAGGCGTAAAAATATTTAAAAACTTAATTCTAAAATTTGTGCAATAAAATTCTATTTTTAAATATCAATTAAATTTATTATTAAAAATAAAAATGTTTTAATTTATTAAAAAATAAAATTATATTTAGAAATTCAAAAAACTTTTATTATAAGTTCTTAGCTTCTTTGCCTTCTTGCAATATGATTGATGTTCAGCTGCTTTTCTAGAAAATTGTTAAAATTAGATTTTAACAATCTTCTAGCCAAAAAATAAATAAAAATGGATATAATATATAATTGATTATACTCTCAAAAAGGAGCATCTAAACTCCAAAAGGAACAGTTCCATCCCTAATGGAACAGTTGTCCTATATTATAGGACTTCCATCCCAAAGAGAACAGTTCCATCCCTGATGGAACAGTTGTTCTAATAATATTAGAACTTCAATCCCAAAAGGAACAGTTCCATCCCTAATGGAACAGTTGTCCTATATTATAGGACTTCAATCCCAAAAGGAACAGTTCCATCCCTGATGGAACAGTTGTTCTAATAATATTAGAACTTCAATCCCAAAAGGAACAGTTCCATCCCTAATGGAACAGTTGTCCTAATATTATTAGGATTTCCATCCCAAAAGGAACAGTTCCATCCCTAATGGAACAGTTGTCCTATATTATGGGACTTCCATCCCACAAGGAACAGTTCCATCCCTAATGGAACAGTTGTCCTAATATTATTAGGATTTCCATCCCAAAAGGAACAGTTCCATCCCTAATGGAACAGTTGTCCTATATTATGGGACTTCCATCCCACAAGGAACAGTTCCATCCCTAATGGAACAGTTGTCCTCATATTATTAGGATTTCCATCCCAGAAGGAACAGTTCCATCCCTAATGGAACAGTTGTCCTAATATTATTAAAACTTCCATCCCACAAGGAACAGTTCCATCCCTAATGGAACAGTTGTCCTAATATTATTAAAACTTCCATCCCACAAGGAACAGTTCCATCCCTAATGGAACAGTTGTCCTGAAATATTAGGGTTTCCATCCCAAAAGGAACATTTCCATCCCTAATGAAACAGCCGTCCTAATTTTATTAGGAATTCTATTCCAAAAAGAATAGGTTCCCTTCCATACCTATTAAGGAACAAATCTTATAAAGGAAATGGGATATATTACCCCGAAAAAGCTAGAAAATTATATATTATATCCTTTTATTAAATTATAATTTAGAGAAACGAACATGGAGAAAGGCAATCAAACATATTCATTTACACTCGACTGATGCATGTTCGTTTAATCCATTTTCATATCTAATAAAAAAAAAGATCATTAGAAAATATTATAATATTTTTAATCACTTTAGTAAAGATTTGGAATGATAATATTGAACCGGACAGACCCCCTTTTCCTCAATTTTCCCCTATATTTTTCCTCGTATACTTGTTTTAGGCATGTACTTGCATTTATAAAATTAAATAATCCTTTTTCTTTGATTGTAAGCAAAAATTAGAAAGGCAATTTAGATGGAAGAAAGGAAAAAGTCTGAATTTTGCAAAAATATAGTGGAAAAATTGGGGAGGAAAAACATAAACTTAGAATCATTAATAAAATTAATAAATTTAAATAAATTTAAAAATTTTATAAATAAATTTAACATTTAAGAATAAAAATTGATGAAATAAAAAGAAAAATCTAGAACGTCTTTCAACGTTCAGGATTTTAGAAAAAGAAAAGTAAAATCTAGAACGTCTTTCAACGTTCAGGATTTTATGAAAGAAAAAAGAATAGAAAAATCGAGAACGTCTTTCGACGTTCAAGATTTTATAAAAAAAGAAAATTAATTTAAAAATAAAATTTAAATAATTTTAAGATAAATATTTTAAAATAAATAAAATAAAAACAAATTTAAAAAATAAAAAAACAACAAAAAATATCGATAAAAATAAAGGGAATGGAGATGCTTCCCTCTCCTTTTAATTTCGCATGCTTCCCTCTCCCTCTTTGTGGCATGCTGCTTGCAAAAAAAGGGAAGCCCTCACAGAAAATGTCTATGCCTTACCATAAGAGAAAATGTTGACCTCTAAAGGTCAGTGTCCATAAAACTCTTGCTTTCTATCGAAGAGAGAAAGTAGTACAAAAACAAAGCACAAAACAATCAATAGGGAAAAATATTGGTGAAAAAATAAATAGTATAAATTTAAAATTAATGAGTAAATCAATGAGATGTTTTAATATTAACCATATTATAAATTTACTATTATGTATCTGAAGTTTGCCAGTTTATTTTAAAATTTTAAAGAATTAATTAAAAGTTGAAAATTAATTTTAGCAAAGTTTAAAAATTATAGTGGGAAAAATTATGTAACTAAAAATTAGTATTTAAATACATAAAAACTTTGTCAGCATATCATAGATAAAAAGCTAAGGGGGTAAATTATTTTCAGAAATATTTCCTCTGTCGTGAGGTTTGCGCGAAAAAACAATTTGTAATTTACTAGGTTTTCACAATAATTTTTAAAATTTTGCGCGAAAATCACCGTTGTGGGGAAAACAATCGTATTTAAAAATTTTTCATAAGCTTTAAAATTTTGCGCGAAAATCACCGTCGCGGCTTTGCGCGAAGACCACCGTCGCGAAAAAACAATTTGTATTACAAATTGTTTTTAAAATTTTGCGCGAAAATCACCGTCGCGGGAAAAACAATTTGTAAATAATTATGTTATTTTTTGTCGGCAACTTCAAAGGGATAAAAATTAATACAATTACAAATTGCGGCAAGATAAAAGGTTAAAACACCCTCTTAATAGGTTTTAATTGACCGGCTGGCAATAATTTACCCCAAAAGGAAAAGGGTCAGTTATTGACAGCCGCGACGGTCCCCTACGGTTAACTACTTACCTTCCGGAAAGTTTTATATTTCAGTTATATTTTATTTTCCGGAAAGCTTTTATTTTCTCCGGAAAGTTTGTAAAAATTATGTTATCCGGAAAGTTGTAATTATATTCTATTTTCTATATTAGAGCCCCACCCTCAATTAGAGCCCCACCCTTTAATACACCCCCACCTTGGAGGATAGTTGAAAAATAGAGCCAATGGGGCTCTAATATAGGAAATACGGTATTTCTATTTTGATTTTTTCCGGAAAAGATTTTCCGGAAAACTCGTGAATATTAAGCAAGATTTTTTAAGTTTTCCGGAAAATATTAAATTAGAATTATCTTTAGTGAACTTTTCCGGAAGGCTTATTTATCCATGAAATTATCTATCTATTTTGTATTTTTTCCGGAATTATGTAGTCAGAATATATATCGTTTCCGGAAAGTTTTAGTATTCTTTTCATTCCCTCGATTTCTATGCCCCCATAAATAAAATTTTTTAAATTTAAGCGTAGAAACATACAATAATTTATGGAAAGGAATAGATACACATATATCAACCCTTATTGTATTATTCGAATCAAATACAAACTCTCTAGTTGGCGCGCAACTATTATTAGACCTTTCCGGTTATGCAGACAAAGTTGTTGCTAGAAGGTGTGTAAATAACGCTTTGGCAAATGCTCTACAAATAAAAGATTTCCCAACATTTGCGGTCTTTAGGAGAGGAGAACGTTCTCCTGCCTATATTGCTGAGTTTGTTTTTTTGGAAAATAATTTTTAAATTTAATTTTGAAGACTTAGACGTCTTCTACTTAACGAATTTGAACAATTATTACGAAACGATAGCAAAGAAACAAGTAAAAGGTCAATGAACAAGTTCTTTTCTAGAAAAAAATTTGCTTCGGGAAGTGAAAATATTGAACAATTTTGTAGCAATTTTCCTCAAATGTGAGGGATTTTTTTTAAAAATTTAAAAAATATTTTTTATTAAAGATGTAAGCGTGCCTATTTTGTTTCTGAATTGGATTTATTAAAGAGTGCGCGTATTGGTAAATTATTTTGATTAATTATTGGTTAATTAATATTGGATAACTGGTATATAGAAATAAAACATAATTTATCAGTTTTCCGGAAACAATCTAAAATTACTTCTGCAATCATTCCGGAATTTTTATTCTCTCCGGAATTCTCTATTTTTACTTGAAAGTCATTTTCCGGAAACTATTATATTATTACTTCATTACTTCCGGAAATATTTGAGTATTTTCCGGAAGCTATCATTCTATTCTATTTTTTCCGGAAACTTTTATATTTCTCCGGAAACAATTGCTTTACTTTATTTCTTCCGGAATTTCTATTTTTTCCGGAAAATATCAATTCAAATTTATTTCTTATTGAAATTATTATACTTTCCGGAAACAATTTGTTTAATAAAATACCTTATTTCTTCCGGAAACTATGTATCAATTCTGATATTATTTTTCCGGAAAATTTATTTTCCGGAGACTTAATTTTTTACTCCATTATTTCTTCCGGAATTATTATGGGTATTTTCCGGAACCTATTAATTCTATTACATTTTCCGGAAAAATTTTCGAATTATACTTCATTTCTTCCGAAAGTTAATTAATCTAAACATATTCTTCAGCACTTTTTAACGATGTTCAAATGATTGGAGGAGAAAATATTACTGGACAAAATTTGAGAGCTTTATATGAATTTGTGGATGTTTTAGCTAATGTATTCCTGTAGATATTTAAAAATAATAAAATACAATTTTTAAAGTATTTCCCTCATCGTACAATCCATCCTCAACCTAGAGAGACAGAATTTAATGGTTCTCAAAATTCTAGAGAAATTAATGAATTTAATGAAAAGGATAATATTGAGGTTAAAATTAATTTTGGAAAATTTTTGAAAATTTTGAAAATTTTTGAAAATATTTTTTTCAGTTTTTAAATGCTAGCAGTCGAGCTCGTGTTGTTTTTAGGTTGTTTATTTAAAAATTATTTTTTTCCGGAAACACATTTTTCAAAAATTTAGCATTAACGTATATGCTCAATGCCCTTTCAAATAATTGCCCTCTACATCTAACCCCCCCCCCCCTAAATACCACCTACATCTAACCTCCATCGAGGGGTGAAAAGGTGAAACAATAACTACCCAGGGACATTATTTGAGCATATACGATACTTTATCCTTTATTCTTTCCGGAAAGTCTATTCTTCCGGAAACTATCATTTTACTTCCTTATTTGACCCGAGAATAAAGAATTTATTTTAAAAAATTCCTCAACTTTCCCCCAAAAATTTTTCAGTCATCTGCGCGATTTTATTAATGAACAGAGAAGTTTGGGAGAAGCTATACTTATTGAAGCATGGAAGGCTGAATTTCTTAGAGCGGAGGCAATCTAATTTTTAAATTTAAAATTTTTTAAAAATATTTTAGAGTGATCAGAAAAATCCTTTTCCGATTTCGGAAGAATGGGAACATTGTAAAGGGTTTGCGGAATTTTTTGAATTAAAAAAAATATTTTTTAGAAGCTCTCCAGTGCTACGCGGATATACTTGTGGGCTTTGGACTCTATTTCATGTATTAACCGTCAATGGATATAGAAATGGGCAAAAAGGTGGGCAAAATAGTAAAGTCTTATAGAAGCTTAAAATTGTGTTGATTCTCCCTCTTTTGTTACAAACTTTCCGGAAACGGTCGCTACAAATAACATTATTATTATAACTAATTAAAACTTTCCGGAAATACTAGAACTATAAAATTGATGATCCAAAAATTATAAACCTTCCGGAAAATTATGAAGTATAAATAAGATTTAGAACTTTCCGGAAAGTGTCCGGAAAATAATAATGGGAAGGCCCGGAAAAGAATAATGGGAAGTTCCGGAAAAAGAATAAAGAGAAGTTCCGGAAAAAGAATAAAGAGAAGTTCCGGAAAAAAAATAATGGGGTGTTCCGGAAAAGAATAATGGGAAAGAACATGCCTTAAAGGAATACATTATTCTTTATACATATTCTTAAAAAAATCAGAATTATAATCAGAATTTTAATTTTAAAAAATTCAAATAATTTATTTTTATTTAACAGGCAATTCTTTTGATCCCTTACGTCTTTTATTAGCAATACGCGATTGGGTTCTATCTTTTTTTGCCTGTGACCATTGCAGAGTTCATTTTCGTAAAATGACCACAAAAACTGCTAGAATCGAAACTTCTGTAAATTAAAAAAATTTTTTTCTTAAAATTTCTTTAAATTTTTCTAAATTTATAGATAAATCGAGAGGAAGACGTTTTTCTTTATTTATGGAAGGCACACAATTTAGTCAATTCCAGACTTCATGGTAAAGAGACAGAAGACCCCAAATTTCCAAAATACCAATTTCCCCCTAATTTTCTCTGTCAGGAATGTCGGAGGGAAATAAATAAAGAATTTGATGAGGATAAAATTAAAAATTTTCTTCTCTTGTATTACTCTGATATTAGACCGATTGGAAGGAAGGGAGTGGAGGAGGTAGATGGTGAGGAAATTGAAGATAAGTTGGAATAAAATAAATTATAGTTGGAAGTGTTATATTAAAATTTATTTTTAAAATAATTATTTTTTGTAAAAAATTTTTAAATATTTAAAAAAATTTTTTTCGAAAGTTAAAAAATTTTTTTTATTAAACTAATCATCCTGAAAGAAATATTCGAATTAAGATTTGGAAGAATATTAATAAATCACAATTTTTAATAAACCAGAATTATAAACTTTCCGGAATTATAAACTTTCCGGAATATAACACTTCCAACTATAACCTTGGCTGTCTGAGACCCAAAAAAATTTTTTTTATAATTCTGTTTAAATTCTGATTTATTAATATTCTTCCTTAAAGTTGTAATTCTGATACTTATCATTTTTTTTGGAAAATTAGCAGAACAAATTTTATTTAGTTATACTCTAATTGTTTTTATTTCATTTTGTATATAAAAACTTTTTTTTAATATACATAGAAAAAAATTAGAATATTTAAAAAATTTTGAAAATTGCATCGAACTTATGTTTATTTTCCTTTTCTCTTTCACTTTTGCAACCCATAAAATAATTTTAAATAAATTGAGAGACAATAAAAAGGAAAGAGAAAAATATTCGCTAGATAAGTACGAAATGTACGTTTGGGTCGATGATGATTGATTCCGTGTTTCATCGGACAATTGTTTGAAGACACTCCCTTGGCTGTCTGAGACCCAAAAAAAAAATTTTTTAATTCTGGAAGAAATACTGGATTTTTTTAAATAATCCGTCTAATTGTTGTTTGATATTTTACGAAGATTGCTATCTATTTTGAATAGGTATACTGTATATTCCCGAAGAACTGCCCTGGGTAATTATTGTTTCAACCTCTCGCTGGAGGAAGTAATTAATAGAGAGCGAGCTGGATCTGGATCCAGACCTTGATTTTTCCTGGATCCAGAGTCCAGATCAAGGCATTTTTCAGCGTTCCTTGATTTTTCCTTGACTCAAGGTCAAGAATCTGGTCAAGGTTCCCGACCAAAATCAAGGTCAAGGATCAAGGTTTTTTGAAAATCTCGCTCTCTAGTAATTAATCGACAGGGTGTAATTATTCGAGATTATTTTACAAAGGCAAATTATACATTTTTAATGGGGTAATTATTATTTCAACCCTTTTCTGGATGGGGTGATTATTTCAGAGAGGGTATTATTCGAACAGATACAGTAAAACATATTTTATTAAAGGCTTGTTTATTTTCTGATTTTGATGCATATTCTGCATTATTTTTGTCTAAAATATAGTATAAAATATAAGTGTACTTTATTATAAAAATTAAAAAGCTCAAACTAGAAAAATATTATCAGCAATATTTTGTTGTTTTTTATCGTCTCATTCGTTCAAAAAATAGTTTAATTTATTTTTACAAAATTTTGTTGTTTACTGATAAGCATTCGGCATCTGATAAAAATATTAACCAAACATTGGTAAATAAATAAATTATATAAAAATCAGTCAATTTTTGTGTTCTTTTATTAAATAAAATACAAAATTATTCTTGCAAAATACAAAGGAGTAGAATTAAGGCTATCCGGAAAATACAATCCGGAAAGTTGTAATTCTCAGTAGGTGTTTATTTATATTTCCGGAAAAGATGCTTATTTTAGATTATAGTATAGTCATATTCTTTCCGGAAAATAGAATCCGGAAAGTTGTAATTCTATATTAGTGTTTATTTATATTTCCGGAAAGAATGTATTTTCTATTATGGTATAGTAGTATATCCTTTCCGGAAAAGTTATATATTTTCTAGAGTATTTTATTTTTTTGAAAATTACCATTCCGGAAAATTTTTATTAATCATTCCGGAAAATTTTTTTAAAAAGTTTATTAATTTTAGACAACTTTGCTAAGTTTTAGAAATATGAATATAAAACGTTACGGAAATTCTTTCTCTTCTTTATTAATTCTGCCTTTACTCTTGTGCCTCGCTTTTCTTCTTTGGCATCAGTGCCAAGCAAATGAGCATCATGAGACTGTGGAGCGATGGGTGAAGCGTGTACTCTATGAGGGGAGATATCCGTCTGTACCAACATTTCCTCCTCCTCCTCCTCCTCCTCCTCCTCCTCCCCTTCCTCCTCTTCCTACTCTTCCTCCCCCTCCTGTCTTTTTGCCACCGATACCAATGCCCAAACCACCTTTCTATATCCATCTTAAAAATAAATTGAAAAACAACGAGGATCAGGAGGACATTCGTAATGAAGAGGAAGGTTTTATGTCAACTAATGCCGATATTTTTGAAGAGAGAAGAGATTCTAGTTTATCCATGGAATCCAAGGAGATTGAAAACGATAATTATGTAGAACCAGTAATCCCTTGGTTTTCTGACTGGGAAAAGATGGTGAAGGAACAAGAAGCAAAGGTATTTTATTCGAGCAAAATTTAAGTTAAAAAAATATTTTTAGAAGAAAAAACACCCAAAAAAGTCTCTTCCAATTAGACACTCTCCCCTTCAAAACATCCAAGAACGTCCACGCCATATTCAAAGCCCCTGCCTTCTCCGTCGAAATAAACCTGTTCAGCATAGAACATATCCAAGAAGTTACGAGTTCCCAGGATTTGAACTTTCCATTCCCCGTAAATGGGACTGGAGGAATGTTGATGGAATTAACTTTTGTTCGCCTACACGCAATCAACACATTCCTGTTTATTGTGGTGGTTGTTGGGTGTTTGGATCTTTAGGCAAGTTTAATCTAAAATTAAAACTTTCCGGAAACTTCTATTAATTTTTAAAACAAGTTGTAGAAGGCTTTAATTTTCCGGAAAATATTAATTTTACTGTTTCTTTTTCCGGAAAGTTTAATTCTTGATAAATTATAAATAAATATTTCCGGAAAGTTAAATTTCTATTGAATTTATTATTTCTTTCCGGAATTTTTTTCCGGAATTTGTGTCCGGAATTTTCTTTCTTGAATTTCTTTCCGGAATTTTTTTTCCGGATTTCTTTCTTGAATTCTATTTCCTACTATACATATTTCCGGAACCAACAAAAATACTTCAATCTTCTCCTTTTATAGGCTCTCTCAATGACCGTTTTAATATTGCTAGAAAAAATCGGTGGCCGATGACTAGTCTTTCCCCACAGGTAAAACACTAAATTTTGGTTAATATCTTTCCGAAAATTATTTAAATAGGAAATAATTGCCTGTAATGGGAGAGGGAGAGGGTGTAATGGAGGTACGGCAGAGGATGTTTTTGGTAAATTTAATTTCGAAAATTTTTTTTAATATACATATGTATATTAGAACATGCAAAAACTGTTGGACTTGTCGAGGAAGGATGCAATAATTTCAAGGCAGTCAATGAAAGTAAAAGTTAAAAATAATTGATAAAAAAGAGGGATCAGTTTAAAATTAACTGCTGTCAATTATAGGAAGATAATATGGGGAATACTTGAAAAGACGGGAATAAAATGGGCAAAACGGGCGTTAATGTGATAGATCGGTAGGGGGAGGACTTCCTTTTTGTTACATTAAACGGATGTTGTTGGACTTGATCGAAAAGGGGTGATATAGGGGGATATTTTTGGTTGTTATTGCTAATATCTGAACTTAAGAAAGTCTCAGAAAAAATCTCAGAAAAAAGTCTCAGAAAGTCTCAGAGAAATTTTCAAAACATTTTTCAAAAAAAAAATTTCTCTCAAAAAATTAAATAATTTTTTCCGAATGTACACCATTCACACGTTGTGGCAGCTGCTGGCCTGACAAATGTTTTTCTATTCAAAACTACACCCGCTATTATATTAAGGACTTTGGGAAGCTTACTGGAAGGCTTCAAATGATGTCTGAAATACACAATCGAGGACCTATTTCTTGTACAATGGGGTGTACTCCTCAATTTGATTTGAACTATACTTCTGGAATTTATAGAGAACATGGGGAATATCCTGTAAGGACACTTTTTCTTTCTGATTAGGAATGTGGTTTAAAAAGTCTATAATTTTAAAATAATTTGGAACCATAAAACATTTAAATTTTGAAGTCAGGACCTAGATATCGTAAGGAAGAAGTGAGATCAAGCTGGCTAGCATGTAAAACGCTTACTAGGCTAGCATGTAAAACACTTACTTCTATTTTAAGGTTACTCTAGCACTTCTATGTCACATATTTTAAGATCTATTATTAAAATAGAAGGTGAAATAGCGCCTACAATAGCACAGTCAGCAGAGGAACTCTGTACGTGGTGAGCTAAGGCTACTAGAATCATGGCAGGTGGTCGCTGTGGATTCCTGCTGACCATATTTCTTGCTAGAAAAAGTCACGGTCACATTATCGTCCTTTCCAAATCCTTTTTTAGAGGTCAGGAAGAAACCAGCAGGAATTCCTTATTTTTCCGGTCGGGGTTCTTCGCCTAGCTATCCTGGCATTAAATAAATTTTGTCTCGAAACCCCTTATTTATTAGAAGATTTTTAGAAAAAAAATTAAATAATATTTTCTCCTATTTTTCAGCCAAACCATATTGTCTCAGTAACAGGATGGGATTGGGATGAAGAAACAAAGACTGAATATTGGATTGTACGAAATAGTTGGGGAGAGGCTTGGGTGAGCATTTCTTGAGGGATTTTTTAAATTTTGAAAAAAATTATTAATTTAGGGAGAAATGGGTTGGTTCCGTGTTGTAACGTCTTTGTTTAATGGAGGTCGTGGAGATCAATTTAATATGGGAATTGAAAGGGTAATTTTAATTTAAAAAATATTTTAAATAATTTTTAAAAATTTGAGGAATGCTATTTTGCTGATCCTGATGTGTCCAATTTGAATTAGAAATTAAAAAAAAGGGGAATTTTATTTTTTAAAACTTCGTTTGTAATTTAATAAATAGAGTTTGAAATTCAAATAATAAAAAAAATCTTTTTTAATTTTTATTTTGAGAGGGAAAAAACTTTCTTTGGGAAAAAATCTTACAATTAGTAGAAAATTTATTAAACAGCTAATAAAATTCATATGTGTAACAGGGATCTAGCCGACATAAAAACAATTCCCGATTTTCGGGAATTTCCGATTTTCAGAAAACGGGTCTCTCTGATGCGTAATACTAATTTTTAATTAAAAAAATTTTTTTTGAAAATCATGGGAGTACCAAAAAAATTTTTTCATTGTTAAAATCAAATAAAAATATTTTTTGATAATATTTTTTTATTCAAAAATAAATTATTTTCAATTGTTTTAAGTGTTGTGAAAAAATTAATTTTCTTTTGTAAGACAACAAAAATTTCTTATAAAAAAATAAACCGAAATGCGCAAAATGTTCAATTTTAAATATAATCTTTTTCTTCCCATTTTAAAAAATTCTTCAAAAAATTTTTCTTTTTTCCCCCAATTTATTTACTCGACCTTTTATTTCGCTTACATTTTTGATTATCATCTTTATCTGATCTCTTTCTTCGTTTATTTTGTTGTTGCATATCTTTATGCCTCTTTTTTTCTCCAAATTTTTTTGGCAAAAATTTTTGTCCTCCTTTCATAAATTCTTTTTTAGTTTTTTCTAAAGCTAAAGGATCATTTCCTGTTTTAAAATTTTCTTCAGATTTATTAATATCCTTCTTTTTATTTTGTTTATTGATGTTATTATTTGATGCTGCAACTATTTCTCCTCTACTCATTTGTTTACGACGCTCTTTTAATCTTAAAGCATTCAAGTTTTCAATAGAGAATTCTACAATTGGACGCTTAAATTAAAAAAAATAAAAATAAAAATAAATTTGAAGATTCCGGAAAGAAAAATTAAATTTAAATTATATAGCCTTCCGGAAAAATATAATAACAGAAAAATTCCGGAAAATATAAGTATAAATATAAGTTTCCGGAAAAGTATAATTATATTATAGTTCTATTTGCTCTTCCGGAAAAACAATAATAAACATTAGAATTATTAAAAATAACATTCCGGAAAGAATATATAAATCTAAATTAAAGCCTTCCGGAAAATGTGTATACATCAGAAAAATTCCGGAAAATACAATAATAGCCAATAGTTTCCGGAAGGAATAGAACTATAACTTTTCCGGAAAAATAATACAAATAAACAGAATTATTAAACAATAACTTTCCGGAAAAAATAATATTATATTAAAATTTCAAATTTTCCGGAAAAGAAATATAACCATCTCTATAACCTTTCCGGAAAATAAGTTATAAGAAGTTTCCTATAACCAATAGTTTCCGGAAGGAATAGAAAACTATAACTTTCCGGAAAAAATAATATTATGTATATCAGAATTTTCAACTTTCCGGAAAAATAATATAATCTAATATAACCTTTCCGGAAAATTATTTTCGTAATAAATTTTTACCCTTTCATTTGTAAACATGTGAGGATTATTATTCATTTGTTTTAAACATTGTAAAGCTGCAGAATGTTCCTTAAAAGCCACAAATCCATAACCATTCGATTTTCCAAGAATAACTTTCCCTTTATTATTTTCTCCTTTAACTTGACGCATAATTCTACATTCCATTATTGAATTGTCACAAACACCTGCTGCAGCACGACAAAGATGGCGTAATTGTTCATCAGTAAATTTAAATGGAATATTGTGAATCTGTAAAATAAAATATTTTTCTTTAATTTTTTAAAAATTTTGTTAGCATTTTTTAAAAACAAAAATAATATGTTAAAGTTTTCCGTAAAGAATAAACCAGATAAATATAATTAAATCCAGAAATGTGTAAAAAACTTCCCAGAAAAGAATAATAAGGAAAACTTAAAACCTTCCCGAAAAGAATGCACAAAAATAAATTTAATTATTCAAAAAAATAACTATAAAAATAGTTTTCCGGAAAGAATACAGACACTTCTATTTCCGGAAAATTTTTCTTTTAATTTTAAATTTGATTATACCCAAGTTTAATTTTCCGGAAAAATATAGTATAAAAGAAAAATCTTTCCGGAAATACAAATAGTAATACTTTACACTTTCCGGAAAGAAATATATTTTCCGGAAAATTGCATATAAATTAGAAAACTTTAATATAAATATTTCCAACTTTCCGGAAAGGAATTAACAATTATATGTTTTCCGGAAAGAATATAGATACACCTAATTTAAGTATTAATTATCCGGAAAAATGTATATAGAAAAAAATTCCGGAAATAAAAATACTTAAAACATTCCGGAAAGGAAGTTAAAAATAATGTTTCCGGAAAATGTATATACAATGAAAGAAAAAACTTTCCGGAAATAGAAATGGTAATACTTAAAACTTTCCGGAAAGGAATTAACAATTATATGTTTTCCGGAAAGTTGTATATAAAATAGAGAATTAAAGGTAATATAAAATTTCCGGAAAGAAAATAGAATATATTTAAAACTTAATACCGCTAGTCTCGTTGGCGACACAAAAGTAATCATATTTTGCAACTTTTTCTTTGCAAATTGACACAAACGTTCGCGTAATTTAGCATCATCTTCAGACATTCCCTTCTCTTGAGGTGTTCCTTTTCTAATTAAAGAAGCTCTCAACAAATAAAGATTTCTTTTGTCTTTTGGATTTTTATCTTCTTCTTGTGGACGTTTAAATGAATCGGCAGATTTTCTGTCAACTGCTCGATATCCGATTAAACGACGGCCATCAAAAAGCATTCCTTGAGGCTGTAAATTTGGAAAAATATTTAATTGAAAAAATTATCTAACAAAATTATGCCCAACTTTAATTAGCATAAAAGATCTAGCCCAGGCCCGTAGCCAGGGGGGGTGAGGGGGGAATTCCCCCCCCCCCCCCCGAAATGGGAAAAAGGAAAAAATTTGGGGAAGGGCTGGGGCAAAAAAAAGTAAATTTTTTTGGCCTACGGCCTCTGAAATTTAAAAAATTTTCGCCTGCGGCGCTAAAAAAGGAAGAAATCTGGCTTCTTGAGGTCCAAAATTAAAAAAATTTTCGCCTGCGGCGCTGAAAATAAAAATTTTTGGCGCCTTCGGTGCCAAAAATTTGGCGCAGAAAAAATTTTCCCCCCTTGGCCCCCCCCCCCCCGCCCGAAAAAAAAATCCCGGCTACGGGCCTGATCTAGCCAGTTAATTCAAGTACTCTCGGGCCCCAACAACGATCAGTATAGCTGGGTGATTACTTATGTAAAATAACCTTATTTTAGTTCAAGTGAAAAGTCCTAATTTTATTATATAATCAAATCACAAAAAATTTTATTGTTACTTAATGACCTGAGTTCCCAGGCCCGGAATTTGGGAAAATCCAAATCAGGAAAAAGGCTTATTTTTAGGACTAGACCCAGCTCAAGCTTACCACAATAACATACAAGCTCTAAAAGAAAGAAAAATAAAAACATTTTGCGGACAAAAATTGCAGACTAAAGTTGGCACAAAAAGACATACTTAACTAAAATAGGCAAAAATACACATCAATATCTCTTTAAAAACTTATAAAGTAATCACTAAATTATTTCCATAAAAAAATAATTGATGAAAAAAAAAACTAACACTTTCCAATTTTTCCAAAAACAAATCGGTTGTAGATTTTTCTGTTAAATGAACAAATGCAGCACCCGTTGGATATTTTGTTTGTTTTGAACGACATAATATAGCCAAAGAGAAAGGGGCAATTTTGTTTGCAATAAGCCATTCTTTAAGTCCTTCATCAGTCGATGATAAAGGCAAATTTCTTTAAAAAAATATTTGGATTAATTTTGGGGAACCCCATTTAAGTGCGACATTTTTTACTACTATTGCCAACTTCTCTTTTTTGACTAACGCAACCACTGGTTTCATTATAAACCCAGATATATACAGAAATAAGTGCTCACAAGGAAACATTCCAAACTGTATGTAAAAATTCCAAAAAAATTTTGCACCATCATGTAGATCATGGTCGACAATCTATTGCTAATTTTTGGCTTTTTTGACCCTGAGCCCCAAATCAAAAAGTTATAGCCTATTAAAGTTTCAGTATTTTAGAGCGGCAGAGCAGTGGTCAGCGTAGTTTTTTGTTAGTTGGTTAATAAATTTAGCCAACGTCGGTTAGATTTACAAAAGCAAAATACTCATGAATTAGGATTGACCTTCCCCAATTCCCAGCGTGGAAAAAAATGTCACACACAAACAAGACTATTAGTCACAAAAATTTACAAAAAATCAAAAAGTCGTTACCTAAGAAAAACTACCCTTCCTTCACTCAGTGCCACATCACCTTGTCGAGGATTATTATTCTTTCGATTTTCATCTTTCTAAAATTTTATTTTTAAGATTAAAAAAATTGTTTTCAAAATAAAAACCTTAAAATTTTGCTTTTTTCCATTTTTCTCAGTCTTAACAAATTTCGACTCTTTTTGATCTAGCTCATTAGAAACTTCATCATCTTCATCTTCCGAATCATTTTCTTCATCTTCCTCATCCTCAAAGTCATCACCCTCAATATCTTCATCTTCTTCATCTTCAGACTCTTCAGAATGACAAGTGTCGTAGTCATCGTCGTCCGTTTCTGATTTTAAATCTAAAAATATTTTAAAAAGAAGGAGCAAGTGTAAACCTTTTTGTGTTGTTCCCTTAATTGACATTTCCTCTTCCGTTCCAGAATTCATTTCAACATCAACAGGCTCGTCTTTAATTTCTTTTGAGTCTTTTGAATTTTCTAGAAAATTTATGCTAAATAGAAAAAATCTAAAAATTAGTGATTGAATCCTACAAGGGTTGAGAATAAAAAAATCAAAAGATAAAATTAAAATTTCTGGTTCCCTAACTTCTTACTCAACGTATTCAACCCGAAATCTGTTTGCCGAATTAGTAGACTCGTTTCTTTCCCCAGTTTTACTTAATGACCTAATCTGACAATTCCCAACACTGAGGAAGAAACTAATGGGGAGAGGGGTACGAATTTGAATCTTACCAGGCTTAGGAATTAGCGTTAAACATAGATGCTCAAATCTAATTAGAAAAGAACCAATAAACGAACCAACCCGAAATCTGTTTGCCGAATTAGTCACAAAAACAAGAGAAGCCCAAAAAAATCCCACAATTTAACCTAATAAAATACCTTCATGTTGACTATTCTCCCAGTCATCCTTGTTCATTGTCCAATCCAAAGCAATCTTTCTACCATTGAACTTTTTAAAATTTAATTCTTTTTTAGCCGTTTCAGCATCCATTCTTCGTTTAAATTGAATAAAACAAAATCCAGCACAAGAATTTGGAAAGCGTTTGTCCTTGCTTTTAGGCAAATTAATTTCGAGTATTTCTCCAAATTTTCCAGCCAATTTTCTAATGTCTTCTTCTTTTGTCTAAAAAATTTTGTGAAATTTTAAAGAAAAAAAATTACAAAAAAAAACCTCAAATTTTAAATTTCTAACTAAAAGTCGCCATCCTTTAAGGCCCGGTCCTCGATGATTTTTTGCGACAGAACTCATTTAAAAATAGAAAAATAATAATTTTTAAAAGTGCCTGAAAATTTAAAATAATTTATTAATCATTTTATAAACGCAAAAAAAATAAAAAAATTTTACAAAAAAAAATTTACGGGGCACGCCCATTTAGGCGCGAGGCAATAACGGCGCAAAGCCATAACTAGCTTGAAAATTTCTGGCCTTTATCAATTTTGGTACCAATCTCTTTAGCTCGATGAGAGGAATCGTTTAATACTAAATTTGATAAGATTCGGAAATTTTGAAGCAAGTTATGACTTTGCGCCGTTATGGCCGCGCGCCTATTTGAGCTGTACCCCAAATTGACAGACGGGACATAACATCGAGAGACAAAAGGGTAAGTGAAAAATTTCAAACAAAAAATTTTTCTGAGAAAGCTATTTTAAAAGGGTGACGCATAAAAATATTGGTTTAATTTATTCGTTTTTTCCTTTTGAAGGGGTTTGTTTATACTTGTTGTGTTTTTAATGGAAGATAAAATCTTTAGCTTTGATTAGCAGAGAAAAATGTACATATTTATTGTAAAAAGTTGTCCTAGCGACTTCGTTCAAAGTCCTAAAATCTTTTTACAGGATGATACTTTACAGTAAAATAAATTTTTCTCAACTTTTTTTCAAAAATTTATTTTACAATTAAAAATGGAAAAAAATAAACAAGGATGTTTTTAATTTTTATATAAATACAGCACACTTTTATTTATTCATTACTTCTGAAAAAATTTTTTTAAACTTTTTCTAAAATTTTCAATCCACATTAAAAATTTTTTTATTTATTTGAAATTAATTTTATTTAAGTCTCAGTAATCCTTATTTTTTGTTTATTTAAATTATTTTCCTTTGTTTATTAAATATATTTTAAATTTAAATAATGCTTAAGCTTTTTATTTTTTATCATAAAAGCTACCTCATTTCTCTTTTCTTACCCCCGGGACCCACAACTTTCAGGAAGCTTGAGTTTTTAAATTTAATTGGGCCCTGGATTTTATATTATATTAATTTTCATCAAATTATTTTTAAATTACTCTTTGTTCTGCCCTTGCAGTATACTTTTTTCTCGTTTGTCAATTAATTCTCTCATTTCTTGAGTATAACTTTAATTTTTTAAAATAAATACTATTACAATTTTTAAGATTGTAATTACAATTTTTAAGATTGTCTGGACGCTTAACGAAGATACAAAATAGATTTGGAAAGAGTAAGGATTCTATGGTAAGCATCACGACAGCTGTGGCACTCTTTTGGGGAGGTAATTTTTTTGTTTATTAAATAGGTTTAAACTTATCTTCTAATACTCGATAATTTCTATTCCTTAATTATTTACATTTTAAATTAAATTATTAAAAAAATTTTTTGTTTAAATTTACTCATTAAATTATTTAAAAATTATTTTTATTTTCAGTTTATAATTTAAATTGTTTATTCATATTTTCAGCTTAATTTAAATTATTATACTGTCGGATTGTCTCCCAGCATTTTTCTTTCATTTCCATTTCACTGAACTTGCTAACGACTTATATTTTAAATGATTAAGTTGATTACGTATGCAAATCACGGGAATGAAAGAAAAATGATGGGAGATAGTGCGACAGTATAATACCATCAGTTTTCCAGTAATTTAAGATCTATTGATGGCTAATCTAGCCCGTAATGAAGTATTCTTTTTCCTTATTTTCCTACCTTATTAAATTTTAGTTTGATAAGATGATTCAAGCTGTGTCAGACCGAATCGACAATATGCACAAAGACTTTAGTCAGCACAAACTGAGCTTGGAAGTCACCAATCACCTACTTTCTTCACTTTGGAATGGTAAGCGATTTAATCTATAATTAAAATATATTTTTTCTTTAAGCCATAGCTCCCGTTGGAGTACAGGCTCTTGGCCACCGCTTCAATACTTACAATGAAAGGAAGAACAGGATTGGGGCTGGAAATAACGTACCTATGGTACGTTTTATTGAGTTTCATTTTTTATACGCTTATTAAGTTTTTCTGTTTTTAGTCTTTTTAGAGCTGTAGGCAAAATCTTTGAAATACTTTTTAATACATTGTTTAAAATTAATATTTTTAGCTTCGAAATAGAGCCTCTGCTATGATTCTTATTCTGGAAAGCCTGATTTCAACGATGAAAAAAATTACCGAAGCTGAATATCAAGGAACACATGGAGGGTATTAATGATATTGTTATGAGTTTGTGGGAAGGTAAATTAACTCTATTATTCCATTTTCTATTTTAACTCTTGAAAGGGTTGCTCGTAATAGTTTGGGAAATGATTTTAATGTGCTGTGGGCAAAAGAATGCAATTGGGCCGAGGACTAAGTTTGAGAATGTTAGTTTTTCATTTTTATTTTTTTGTTTGCAGTTATTCTGTTTTTTGTTTTAAATCAAATATTTTTTCAGTTGAGAAACCGTGCGTCCACCATGATTATTATTTTGAAGAGAATGATTCAACTACTTGGTGGCATCAACCACAATAATTTTAATCAAATAAATCAGGGCGATTTACCGATTTGAACAACTTTTTGATCACAACACAGCCTTAAACAAACAAAGGATTTGAAAAAATTTTAAATAAACAAATTTATTCTAAATAACAAATCAATGCTCTTCAAAATATGATCGTCTTGATGAGTGCGCTGAATCAAGATACATACAATCAAATTTCGCCAAGAGCACTTGCGGATTTAGAAACTAACTTTACTAAAGCAATGAATCAGAGTAATAACTACGACAATTGATGAGTAAGATCAAAAGAAAATAAAAAAATTCTGCTATACATAGTAAAAAATATCATTTTATTATTTTTTAATACATATTATTTTTTTAAATAAATGTGTGATTTTTATTTTATAAATTATTTTAAAAGATTATTTTTCAAAAATATTTGTGTAGAATTTTAACTGATAAAAAATGAGTATTCTGGTTATCTCCCACATTTTATTTTTCCTCTCCTTTCCGTAGCATTTCTCCAAAAAAAGCGTACTCGGTAAATGTGCCTTGCAATTGCACCCAATGCGGTACTTCTATGCTTTCATTCATTGTAACTTGCTTCAGGATTTCCGAATCTTACCAAATTTAGTATTAAACAATTCCTCTCATCGAGCTAGAGTTTGTTGTCAAAATTGTTAAGGGCCAGAAATTTTCAGCAATTTATGGCCTCGCGACTAGAGGTCGGCAAAATCGCACTTCCGGGATATCGAGTCGCGATTTTTTCTTAACCGATACCGGGATGGGATCCCGAGGGATAAATCTCGGAATATCCCGGATCCCGAAAATCAAAAAAATTCGGGATTAAGGGATCCCGGAAAATCTCGTCAGGATCTCGTCCGCGCCGACCTCTAATTGCTACGTTATGGCCGCGCGTTTACTTGGGCGTGCCCCGTAAATGCTCTCATTTTTTCACATTTCCTTAATTAAAAAAAATTTAGCTTAAATATTTTTTTAATTTGTATTTATTTTACTTCAAAAAAGAGAAATGTCTGTTGAATCCAACAACAAAAACAATAGCGAAAAGGATGCCGATTTTGATCAAAAACCTCAGATACTTCAATTATTTGTTGTAAGCTTTAAAAAAATTTTTTTAATTAAAAATTAAAATTTTCTAGCCCAGCAATCCACTCCATTCCGATGAACATGCTTTAGAGCACAGTTATATTTTTTCTTATTTTATGCGACCTCAAGGAAAATTTGATCCAGAAGATTATGCAATGTTTGGAATTTTTTTTAATTTTTTAAAAAATAAATATTTTTCCGTTTAGTTTTGTTCAGCCTGTGGCGCGCATTAGTTCGGTTGAACAGGTTTTGGATTTTTTTCATTTATGTTTCAGGGGTTTCTATTTTATCTAGAAAATACTTGTGTTTTGTCAGTTCGGGGTTTTTCTTTTTCAGCTCAAAAAACATACTACGGGGAATTCGTTTAAGGAAAGCCCCCCAACTTCGAAAAACTCAGACCGTTAAAATATCTGGCTACATGGCCTTGCCGGTTCGGGGTTGTCAAGATTAAAAACAAAAATCACCGGGAATTTGTTCAAGGAAAGGCTCCCCTCCTCCCTAAAAACTCGGACTTCATAAAGATATTTCGCTTCAGTGATACGTGGCCTGGAATATCTCGTCACGGCCCGACTTATTTTTCGAATTCTAGTCGACACCTATAATTTATTTCAAATTTTCTAGTTCTGGTTAATTTACCGATTCATCAAAAGGCCTTCAGGTTTATTTTTCTTTCTGAAAAAAAAAATTTTATTTTTTAGATCTCACAGAAAAAGTTGATTTTCACTTGTTTAAGGAAGGAATAAAACCAGGTTTTTTAATTTTTTAGAAAAAAAAATGTTTTTTAAAGTTTGGGAAGACCCAGCAAACAGAAATGGAGGAAAATGGATTTTACGGTTTTTTAGAAATTTTTAAAGAAATTATTTTTTTTTGTTAATTTTTAAGGCTGAAGAAGGGACTCTCCTCTAGAATTTGGGAGAATTTGTTACTGGCAATGATAGGTTATTTTTTTAATTTAGAAATTTTAAAGGAATCACTTTTGGATTTATTGATGAAGTAAGTTTACAGAAAAAAGCAAAAATTTTTTGTCCGCAAAATTCTGTCCGCAAAAAGATTTTTTGTCCGCAAGATTCTGTCCGCAAAAAATTTTTTGTCCGCAAATTTATTTCCGCAATTTTTTTCTTAAGGTTACCTCCTTTTTTACTTATTTTATAGTTGTAGTTCCGTAATACCAACACGCCGAAATGCTAAATATTTTGAAGTTTTTCCACTATTTATATTTCGAAGGTTTTGTTGGCTTGGTATTTAGGCGTTTGCTCTTACGGCATGCTTTGATTCTGTAGGATATAAAATTAATTGTTTTTCTAGATAGGAGCATTAAATTGTTCAATAAAAAATTTTTTGCGGACCGATTTCAACGAAAAACTAAAAAAACTTTTCCAAAAAAATTTTTCGGAGGAAAAAAAGTGTCCGCAAATTTTATCCGCATTTTTTTCTGAAGATTTTTAAACAAAAATTTTTTCAGAATTTCTAACTCCCCAAAAACATTTTTCATTTATTTAATCAAGAAAATCATTCCTCCCTTTCAAATTTATCAAAAAAATTTTTTTAGGTGAACAATTTTTGGTTGGCGGTGAAGTTGTTGGTGCTGTTTGCAGTGTTCGAAATCAAGAAGAGTATTCTTTTTAATTTTTTTATTTTTCAAAAATTTTTTAAGTATAATTTCACTTTGGAATCGTTCCTCTGATTCTGCTCCAGTTACTAATAGAATACGGGAAACACTTCGGAGGGTTTTGAATTTACCGTCGAATGCAATTTTGGAATATAAAAGACACGGTTTGTGAATTACTTAGAAATTTATTTTTGTTATAAAAATTGCTGGGGGAACAACACCCTTGTGGTGAATTCCAAACATTTCGGCGGATAAAGAAGGTTTTTTGGGATCAAGAGGGATCCCGATGGACATAGGCGGATTAGGATGGATTTTTGGGATTCTTGGGATTAAAGGGACATAAGACGGTAATTCTTTTGTGTAACAGTCAGATAAGGCAGAAGCGAGTAGGCAGACGTTCTCTTATCTCAAGCCTTCTTTATCTGTCCAAATATTTGGAATTGACTGCTAGGTTGGAGCCAGGTCTCTTACTAAATTAAACACCAAGAATTGGGGAATCTCATACTATGTATACTAGCTCTCGATGTCTAACCTCTGTTAAGACCATTAAACCTTATGTCCGCAAAATTTCGTCCGCATTTTTTCTAGTTAATGAAATTTAATGGTTTAAGCCCCTTAGGTTCCCAAAAAGTTTAGGTTCTTTTAAGACTTTTTAGTCTGCTCTTTCCTGACTGGAAATATTTGTCCTGTTCATAAATGAAAATTTAGAAAAATTCATGAGCCTTCTTGGAAGGCGTTTTTAAAGTCATTTCTGCTTAAAACACTTTCAGACTCTAAAAAATAATTTTTTTTGAAGATGATTGTCTAAAAGATCAACGTTCCTATTGCCATTCAACATCTATTGGAGGAGGAAGTGGGGGAGGTCAACAATCAAACCATCATCATGGAGAAGGTAGAGGAGGTGGAGGAAGCAATTTTAGAGGAGGGGGAGGTGGGCAAACAACAAATACGAACAAAAAAGATAAAAAATTGGAGGAAGAAAATGATTAAAAAAAACACGCCAAAAAATTTCGTAACAATTTTTTATTATATATATTTTGGGTTCTTTTTATTTAATTTTCCAAAAATCCGCAAAATTTTTGTCCGCAAGTTAGATAATTTATTTTATCATAAAATAAAATATTTTTCATTGAGGAACGAGTCTGCTGTTGTAAAAAATTCGAACACCTGGGTCGGTCTAAGGGTTAGGCTTTCCGGGCCCGGAAGACTAATTATTTTCCGGTAGCCTGGAAATTTGAAAAATTCAAGGGTTTTTGGGATGTAATGGAACTATTATGGACAGTTCCAAACTGTTAGAGAGCCCTGTATCCGAGAACTGGATAATTTTATAAAATCAGTGGGGGTTTGCCCGTTTGGTTAAACTTGATTAAAAATTGCGGACAAAATTTGCGGACTTTTGGGGGGTTTAAATTAAAATGAACTTTACTATACATATATTTTTGTGTTTTTGAAATTGTGAAAAAGAAGAGAAAAAATTTTTAAGGGTATGAAAATTTTTTTTTAATTTTTGTTTGGTCAAAGGTTGTTAAAAAATCCTTTTTTTATTTAAATTTATTTTTTTTTTGAAAAAAAATTTTTTTCATGCATTTGTTGTTTATCAATTATTTATTTACACAAAAGTATATATATTTCATTGAAAGAATTTCCAAAAATATTTAGTATTTATTATTTACTCCTTATTTTTGTGTGCTACTTTTCTCTAAAGTTCCCCTATTTTTACACTTTTTTTCCTTTAAGTAAATCAATCTTTTTTCTTTAAGATGGTGTAGCCCACAAAAATAAAATTAAATTCTTCATATCTCACAAAAAGATATACGCTAGGGTTGTATTCTGTCCCGGAAGGTAGGGGAATTTGAGAATTTTTTTGAAAATTCCCCGTCCTCCCTCGAATTTCTTCCGTCGAGGAACAACCTTCATACGCACAATATAAACTACATACTTTTTTAGGTTTAAGTTGCTAGTCGATGTGGAGTAGGTGGATGGGGGGGTTACCCGAAAACCCGGCCTTTTCTTCGACCCCAATACAAAGAAAATTTTTACAATCCCGATCCAAGACCCGACCAGACTTTTTTGGTACTTATTGCAAAAATAACACTTCCTATTTAAGAAAATTCCTCCTTTTTATATGATCGTTTATCCAAAAAGTGTACATATTTTATAATGACGTTTACCTAATTTTTTAAAATTTTATTTTCAGATTTTTTTTATATTTTCAATTAAATATTACAATAATTAATTTATGGCACTGTCGAATAAAGTATTAATTTATGGAGGACGTGGGGCACTTGGGAAAGAATTGGTTGATTTTTTTCGATCAAAAAATATTGTGAGGATTCTTAGAAATTAAAAAAAATTTTTAATTTTAAGTGGGTATTGAATGTGGATATGAGCGAAAGTGAAGCAGCTAATTCAAATGTACTTGTTGACCCACTCCAATCTTGGGTGGAACAAGAAAAGAATGTTTTGAATGGGTGGGGAATTTTTTTTTCTTGAAAAGTTTTTGACTTTTTATTGTGGTTTTGTGGTGAAAAGGGTGTTTGGAGAAGGAAGTGATGAGAAAAAAAAGTCGGGTCTGGGTTTCGTTTTCGGGTCGAAGAAAGGATTTCGGATATCGAGTTTCGAGTAATACCCGTCCCATCCCTAGTTTAAGAAGATAAGGACTTGGGCAATGGAAAAGGGTTGGAGGGAGTCTTGGAAGGGAGTCTCTCAATGGAGGGACGAGCCTTCATTTTCTGATGGAATTTCCAAAAGATAAATAAATATAGTGCAATGATTTTTGAACTTGTGAATAAATTTATGAGGGATTTTGTAATAGTCAGTGTCTAACCTTAAAAATTAAATATTTCCCTCATTTAAAATTCCCTCGATTCCCCTTTTCAGTGTTGAATCCGTACTTAATGGAGACAAGCTTGATGCTATTTTATGTGTAGCAGGAGGTTGGGCTGGAGGGAATGCTTCCAACAAAGATTTTATTAAAAATGCGGACTTGGTAAAAAATCGGAGAAAAAAAATTTTTTTAATTTTTAAAAAAGGTTTGGAAGCAATCTGTTTGGACTAGCTCGATATCTGCTAAAATTGGGGCAAAATTTCTCAAACCTTCGGGATTGCTACAATTCACTGGAGCGGCGGCGGTGATTATTGAAATAATTTTAATTTAAAATTAAAATTTTAGGCGGTTCAAGGAACACCAGGGATGATTGGTTATGGAATGGCTAAAGGTGTGGTAAAAATAATTTAATAGACCTTTTAATGCTAAAAAATTATGTTTGAGTAATTCTGTGTATGGAAGAATGGGGGGGGGGAATAGTTCGAGAGAAATAGTTACTAGTAAATTCAGGGTGCCCCCCCCCATTTCCAAATCACCAAAAGTTCATGGACTCACAAAAAGTGGGTAAAATTGGCCTTAAAGGGGCGAGAAGGTAAAAAGTGGGCAAATGCCTCAGCAAAGGGCTACCTTGGGTAAATCACATATACATGTTAAGCAAAGCTCTTAGCAATAACTGCCTATTTAAAAATAAAAACAAAAATTTTGAAACCAAGCTTTTTTATGGAGTGTTCTCTCAATTTTCTAAATTTATTAGAATGATCCTTTTTTATTAAAAAAATTTTTTTAATTTAAATTTAAAGCCGCTGTCCACCAATTAGTCAAAAGCTTGGCAGACTACAAAATTTCCGGTCTACCAGAAAATGCTGTTCCCTTTGCTTTTTTGCCTGTAACTTTAGACACCCCAATGAATAGAAAATGGATGCCTAAAGCTGACCATTCAACGTTTTCAAAAAAATTTTTTTTCTAAAAATTTTTTTTTAATTTTCAAAGGTGGACACCTTTATCTTTTATTGCCGAAAAATTGTTTGGTTGGATTTTTGAACCTGAAAAGAGTGGAGATTTGCCCAAAGCTGGGGCTTTACTTGAATTAATTACTAAAGACGGGAAGACTGAAATTAAACAAATTTAAATTAAATTTAGAAAAATAATAATTTTTAGACAGTCGAAAACCTTGTTATAAGACACACTCAATATGGGATATCCCTCTCTATTTAATAAACACCTCTATTTAAGACACGTCCTTTTAAATTTGGTTGAATACTGGGTGGAGGGGGAAAGCTGCCTGAGCCAATACCTTCGATTCTACGTACAGCTCATGATAAGATACCCCTAATATTGAGTACCCACAATATTGAGTACTCCCATTATAAGATGCCCCCATTAAAAGAAAAACCTCTATTTGGGATACGACCTTTAAAAGTTTGGTTGACTACTGGGCGAAGGGGGAAGCTGCTTAAGACAATACCTTCGATTCTACGTATACCTCATTATAAGATACCCCCAATATTGGATACTTTCAATATTAGGTACTCCCATTATAAGATGCTCCCATTATAAGACACACATCTATCTAAGATACGTTTTTAAAATTTGGTTGGTTATTAGTAGAGACCGGATTTTTATGCAAATGCATATTTTTTTTGCAAACTTGTTATGATGCATAATGCACAAAAAACACTGTTTCCGCATGTTTTGAAAACTCTAGAGGGGGTTTCTATTTGCATATAATGCATATTTTTGCATATTCCGGATTTTGCTGCATAATGCATATTTTACTGCATATTTCAAGGTTTTTGGGGAAAATATTGCAAAAATTGCCCAAAATCCTGCCAAAAAGTGAAAATTTAGTAGAAATTTAAGGAAAATTTTGTAAAAATTTCAAATTTTGTAAAAAAAATTTTTTTGTTTTTTGGGCGCGCCCCAAAAAATGGCCAACACCCATAATGTCTCAACCCAAAAATGTCCCACCCCAAAATGTCACCAGCCAAAACGCCACATTTCAAAATGTCCAACATAATAAGAATACTCAATTTGTTGAATAATACATAGAAAATGAAAGTAATCCTATATTAAAATTTAGAATGCTTTGTTTGTCTGTCCGCAGCTTTGAATTTTGCTGTGTTTGGCGTTGTGTTTATTTTTTAATTAAAAATGACAAAATATCCCAAAATTGAAAATAGTGTGTATTTAGAGAAGTAAAGAAAAAATGTGAATTTTTTAGAATTTGTTTTGCATTTTTTTGCTTGAGTTTTTTTTTATTTTTTTGTTTGTTAATTGTATTAAGATGTTTTTTATTGTTTTTTTTGTTTTGTTTCTTAAAATTTGTTTTAAGTAAGAAAAATAGTGTGTAATTAGGGAAATAAAGAAGAATGTGAATTTGTTAGAATTTGATTTGTTTTTGGAATTTTTTAATTTTTTTGTTTGTTAATTATATTTAAGATGTATTTTGATTGTTTTGTTTTTTATTGTTTTTTAAAATTTATTTTATTTAGAAATTGTTTCTAGGTTCAAAACCAAAACAATCATTTATTCAAACAACGTTGGTGTCCAATAGTTTGTTTTTCAGCTGATATTTAATTTAAATAACGAGTGTCCAACCGGTGGTTAATTTTTGTGAGGTTTGTTTTTTAACATAATTATAGTTAGGTTTTTGTGTTTGACAATGCGATACTAAATATTGATAGTCCTAGATAGTTTGACACAGTGAGATACTAAGTAGTTGATTGTCCCTGATAGTTTGGTAAGTGAGATACTGTTGATATATTTTGATACAGTGAGATACTAAGTAGTTGATAGTCCTAGATAGTTTGATACAATGAGATACTAAGCAGATAGTCCTAGATAGCTTGATACAGTGAGATACAAAGTAGTTGATGAACTTTCTACTATATAACTACAAATGTAAGTTAATAGTAAATAGTAAAAGAACTTTTTACTATATATACTACAACTGTTAGTTAATAGTTAATAGTAAAAGAACTTTTTACTATATAACTACACCTGTAAGTTAATAGTAAAAGAACTTTTTACTATATATACTACAACTGTTAGTTAATAGTTAATAGTAAAAGAACTTTTTACTATATAACTACACCTGTAAGTTAATAGTAAAAGAACTTTTTACTATATATACTACAACTGTTAGTTAATAGTAAAAGAACTTTTTACTATATAACTACACCTGTAAGTTAATAGTAAAAGAACTTTTTACTATATATACTACAACTGGTAGTTAATAGTTAATAGTAAAAGAACTTTCTACTATATAACTACACCTGTAAGTTAATAGTTAAAGAACTTTTTACTATATATACTACAACTGGTAGTTAATAGTAAAAGAACTTTAATATATACTAAAACTGTTAGTTAATAGTTAATAGGTGAAATTGATATTAATGGTTAATTGTTGAAACTGATATTAATAGTTAATAGTTGAAAATCTTAGTTAATAGTTGAATCATAGTTAATAGTCTAAATTCATATTAATAGTTAATAAGTAATAGTTAATACTTAATAGTTAATAATGTAAACTAGATAGTTATTTGAATAATTATCAAAATTTTAGTCCTATTAAATAAAAATGAAAGGCAATATAAGAATTGTATTGGATGATTTTGATGATATTCCTTCAACCAGTCAAAACACTGCTCAAAATAATGCTGATGATATGCAAAGAGAAAATTTGGAAAAAAGAAATCGAAGACTTGATAAAGATAGAGAACGCAAAAGAAAATATCGAGAAAATGAATCGCAAAATAAAAAAATAGAACGATTGGAACAAGACAGAATTAGACATAGTATTAGAAGAGAAAATGAAGATGAAGAAGAAACTGAACAACGATTGGAACAACAAATGATTAGACAAAGGACTAGAAGAGAAAATGAAGACGAAGAGGAAAATGAACAACGATTGGAACAAGAAAGAACTAGATATAGAAATAGATATAGAAATAGACTTAGAGATGAGATCCGGTTGTTCGCAGCCGGTGATCATCGAAATGTGATTGTGAATAGACTCGGAAGGATGAATGTTGAGTGTACCCACTGTGGTGCACTACATTTTCCGGAAGAGAAGATTGGAAATAAAGGAAATTCCTTTAATAATTGTTGCCATCATGGCAAAGTGAATTTGAATTTGATACCAGAAAGCAATTTTCCAGTTTTACTGAAAAATTTGTTTTTGAGAATTGATACAAGATACAAGAACTTTTTTGATTGTATTAGAAATTTGAATAGTAGCGTTTCCATGGCTTCCATGAATCCGCTTAGATATAGATATCCAAGTAATAGAGGCCCATATTGCTTTCGCATATGTGGTCAGATTTATCATAAATTGAACTTAGCATTGAATCCTGACGATGGAGACGAGCCTGCTTATGGGCAAGTCTTTATTGTTGATACAGAAGAAGCGCTTAGTGCAATGAATAGAGCAAACCCTGTCATAAACCAGAGTTTGTTAAAAAATGTTTATGAATTGATAAAAGACATCAACCCGTTTGCGCAAGCATACGTAATGATGAAAGAAGAAGAAGACATAGAAAAAGAAAGAGCTAGACTTGAAAATAGACCTCCTGTCGAGGTTAGTCTTTTGTTTGATACAAAAACTAATTTAGACAGGAGATTAGGGTACAATGTACCAAGAGCTAACGAAGTAGCAGCAGTTTATGTGCCTGGAGCAGATGGCGAAATGCCTAATGCTAAGATTGTAGTACGAGAAAAAGGAAAAGAACTTAGAATTCTGGATAATACTAACCAGTTAGTATCACCCATGACATACCCGCTGTTTTTTCCGCGTGGTACGTTAGGGTGGCATCCAGATATTAGACAAGAAAATAGTATTAGAAGAGTGACTAGACTTCAGTATGTTAGTTATAGTATTGGAGTTAGGAATGAGTTTAACCCCATTCTTTATGGGGGAAAACTCTTTCAACAGTATTGTGTTGATGAATATGTCAAGATTGAGAGTGATAGAATGAGATGGATTAGAGGTAACCAGAAAACGATCTTGGCTGATGCCTATAAAAACGTTGACAGTTACTTAGAAAAAAGGGCGAGAGAAACTGGGAAGCCGTTGGGGCGTAAAGTTATTTTGCCTCCGACGGTGACCAACTCGCCGAGATATATAGAAAAGCACTTCCAGGATGCAATGTCATTAGTGCGAAAGTTCGGGAAACCGGATCTTTTCGTCACTATGACTTGCAATTCGCAATGGGAGGAGATTAAAGAGAATTTGTATGAAGGACAAGTGCCTTCAGATAGACCTGATATAGTAGATAGAGTATTCTATCTAAAAGTTAAAGCATTGATGAAAGAGATAACTAAGGCCAAAATTTTTGGCAGAGATATTTGTTGGATGTATCCGGTAGAGAACCAAGGACGGGGACTACCGCACATCCATTTGCTTTTGACTTTGCTTGATAAAGTAACAAGTTCTCAAGATATTGAGAATAGAGGAATTAGTGCTAGACTACCTGACAAAGACAAAGATAATGAATTGTTTGAATTAGTCAAAAAGTTTATGATCCATGGACCATGTGGTGATTTGAATCCAAATTGCCCATGCATGGAAGAGAAAATAGTGAATGGAAAAAAGATAAAAAGTTGTTCAAAGGGTTATCCCAAACCCTTTCAACAAGAGACTTTAGTATTAGATAATGGTTTAGCATTATATGCGAGACCTAAAGATGGTAGAACTGTTGAAATATTTGCAGCAGGAAAGAGACATGAACTTGATAATAGATGGGTTGTGCCACACAACCCTTATTTGTTAAAGATGTTTAATTGTCACATTAATGTGGAGAAAGTGAATAGTGTGACTTCTGTGAAATATTTGCATAAATATGTTCACAAGTTACCAGATAGAGCTACAATGAATTATGAAGAGAAAAATGATTGTGACGAGATTAAAGAATTTATAGACGCACGGTACGTCTGTCCGCAGGAGGCCGTGTGGAGAATTTTAGAATTTGAGACATATGATCGTAGTCATAGCATCACAACTTTGCCTGTCCATCTGGACGGTGAACACGTGTGTTATTTCGACGAGAATATGACTGAGCAAGAGATTAGAGAAAAGATTGAAAATGACTCTGAATTGTTAGGATATTTTGAATTGAACAAGAATAATGTATTAGCTCAGAATCTCTTTTATCACGAGATTCCCGAGAAGTTTGTGTTTAGAAAAGGAATTTGGAATAAGAGAAAGACACATTTCAACACAATTGGTCGGATGGTCAAGGTTTCGCCAGCCGAAACTGAACGCTATCACCTACGGCTATTGTTGTTGAATGTGAAAGGAGCTACAAGCTATGAAGATTTGAGAACTGTAAAGAGATTAGATAATTTGATATTGAATATTAGAAAATATGCAACCTTCGCGGAAGCATGTTTAGCCAGAGGTTTGATTAGAGATGATGATGAGTGGAAGAAGGCATTAGAAGAGGCTAACAACTTCGAAATGCCTTGGAAATTGAGAGAATTATTTGCTTTGATTTTAGTGCATTGCAATCCTGCAAAACCCGAAGAACTTTGGGCTTTGTTCAAGGATGCTTTGTCTGAGGATTTTGCAAAAAATCTTAGTATTGAACTTGCATATAGAAAAGCGTATATAGATATAGTAAAAAGAATATTAAAAGCAGGTAAATCAATTGATGATTTTCCTACTATGAAACAACTAGATGGTATTAACCAACTAGATGATTTAGATTTAGACCAAGTAAATAGTATTGAAGAGCAATTTAATGTTGTTGAAGAATTAGATATAGGTCGTCGTAGCTACGAGCTATTAAACGACGAGCAAAGAGAAATAGTAGATGAGATTTTGAATAGGATCTCCAATCCAGATGGGAAAATGGCATTCTATTTTCTCAGTGGACCAGGTGGATCAGGAAAGACATTTGTACTTTGTACACTTGTCCATTTGATTAGAGGAATGAATAAGAAAATTAGTAATATGGCCTATACTGGTATTGCGGCAACGCTTTTACCAGGAGGTAGAACATTGCATAATAGATTTGGTTTGAATTTAGATATGAGCAATTCGAAAATAGGCCCAAGCTCAAGAGCATGGGAAGAACTGAAAAATGTTAATATGTTCATTTGTGATGAGGCACCAATGATTCATAAAAGAGCATTATCAACTATAGATTTGAAATTGAAAGAGATTATGAATAATAGTATAGAATTTGGTGGCAAAATTATGCTGATGGCAGGCGATTTTCGTCAGACATTGCCAATCCAGAAGCATGCCACTAGAGCCGAGATTTGTGATTTGACAATAAAAAGAAGTCAATATTGGGCTTCTGTGAGGAAGTTCAAGTTGACAAAGAATATGAGAGCCTTAGAAACTGAAAAAAGATTTGCTAAGGATTTATTAGAAATTGGTTCCGGAGAACGGAATATTGATACTGACCAGTTGGTATTACCACTGGATGTTATTAGTACTGGTGATCTAGCTGAAGAGATTTTTGGAAATGTGATTATAGATAATGATTGGAATAAGATGGCCAATATGGCTATTGTTGCGCCGAAAAATGTCGACGTGAGAGATTTGAATAATAGGGTTTTGAATATGCTTCCTGGCAACGAAACGTTGTACAAGAGCATAGACAAAGCCGAGAATGAAGAGAAACAAGTATTAGACGAGTATTTGGATGAGTATTTGAACTCATTGAGCCCAAATGGGTTTCCATTACATGAGTTAAGATTAAAGAAATATGCCATAGTGATGTTGATTAGAAATTTGAATATAGAAAATGGCCTGTGTAATGGAACTAGAATGTTGGTCGAAGAAATGAGACCAAACTTAATAGTTTGTAGACTTGACTGGAGATAGAGCAGGTGAAATGGTGTATATCCCACGCATCACTCTGTGTTGCGATGGAGAGTACCCATTTGATTTACATAGACACCAATTCCCATTGGTGTTAGCCTTTGCAATGACTGTGAATAAGGCCCAAGGGCAGACATTAGAAGGATTGGGAATAGATTTGACCAAAGACGTGTTTAGTCACGGTCAATTGTATGTGGCCCTCTCGAGGGTTAGATCTTGGAATTCGTTAAGAATTAGGTTATTAGAAACTAATAACGAGAGAAAAGTTATGAATGTAGTGTATAGAGAAGTAATAGATGATAGAGATTAGTTTTAGAATAAGATTTAGATTTAGAATTGAGTTGTCTAAAGATTGTCACAATCTAATAGGTTGCTTTATTTAAAAAACCTAATATATTTTTTAATTTAAGACAAATATTTTTGAGCCAATTTTTCTTTGAGAATAAACAACAAGAAAAAGAACAACAAGAAAATGAACAACAAATAACAAGAAAAGGAACAAGAAAATAGTTAATAATTGAAAGTTGGTTAATAGTTAAAGCATGTCTTGACTGGATTAATGTTTGAATTTACTGATACAAGTTATGATCATGTCGAGACACAAAAGGTATTACAAGTTTTTTTTAAATTTTAATATCTAATTTTAAGAATCTATCAAGTTTTGAAGAAATTGGAAAGAATAAACAAAATGGGTGTATAAGTGATGAACTTTTATTTGAAAAAGAAATTCTTTGTGTAGAGTTGAAATTTGATAGGTAATAGTTTAAAATTAATATTTTAAAGTTGGTTAATAGTTAATAGTTAAAAATTAATATTTGAAAGTTGGTTAGTAGTTAATAGTTGAAAATTAATATTTGAAATTTGGTTAGTAGTTAATAGTTGAAAATTAAAAGTTAAAATCAACATATAATTAAATTGCAATATAAATAAGTCTAAAATTTCAGTTTCAAAATTCAAAATGCGAAGCAATGCAAGAATTGTTTTGGATAGTTGTTTGGAAGGTAAAATCAAAATAATTAAATTGCAATGTAAAAAAGTAACATTTTTAGTTTAAAGATTCAAAATAAGAAGCAATACAATAAAGCAATACAATTGTTTGCAATACAATTGTTTGGAGCATTATCAGTGGACTTACAGTTAGAACGGCTCAAAATCAAACTAAATTGGAAAAAACAACCAAGATGAAGATTTAATATGATGATTATTTTATTTGAAAAAATTATAATTATTTGAGCATTGTTTTTCTACGAAACTAGCAAAAGAATGTTGCAATGTTGTAAGATTTGTACATAATACTACTATTATTTTCAAATCATGCAATATTTCAACATTTGTTTTGTTAGTTTTTTTACACATTCTTCCCTAAATATTTATGTGTTTTTGATTGTTTTTTGCTTCAAATGTGTTTAATGTTTTTAAAATTTAAGCTACATTTATTTAAATATAAAGGTTTAAACGTTTCATGCATATGTTTTTAGATGAATTAGATAGTTTAAGTTTTTTCATAGGAAAGTCAACAGATAGGAAAAAGTTTTTGTCAAAGGAAAAGACTGACCGGAAATGAGTTGATTTGACTTTTAAGTTTTGTTATGATTTTGAATTAGGCTAGCGGAGGAGCTCGCCCGAAGGGCGAGCACCTTCGCTAGTCTTTATAAAAATAGATTTTTGAATGTTTTTGACTAAAAAATGTGAAATTTATAGGTATAATTTGTAATTTTCTTGCATATTTGCGTGGATATTTTGGATTTCTTGCATATTTTCGTGCATATTTAGGCAATTTTTTATGCATATTATAGTGCATATTTTGCATTTTTTAATGCATAAAAATCCGGTCTCTAGTTAGAGTGGGGGTAGGGGAAGCTGCCTTAGCCAATACCCCTCTATTCTACGTACACCTCATTATAAGATACGATTTTTCTGAAGGGTGTAACTCATAACGAGGTTCGACTGTATATTAAAAATCATTCCAAAATGGACTTTATATCTTTAGGTTTTTAAGAAAAAAACGCAGAAATATTGTTGCGGCAAGACACCACAAGCATTGATATTTTCTGATTTTTTTCAAAAATATTTTTTTTCATTTTTGCTTAAATTTATTCATTATTTATTTAAAAAATAAAATTAAAAAAAAATTTTTATTTTTCAAATTTAACTTGTATTTTATCTTACAAAAATATTTTTTTATTTTTTTTCTAAAATAAAAAAAAACAATAAAAAATATAAACCAAAAATTCCTTCCCCAAGATAAAATATATTTTTTCTTTTTAATTTTCTCTTTTCTTTCAAAAAAAATTTTTTTTTCTCGAGACTTTTATGTTAAAGGCAATCAATAAAGGGGGCAAACATCTTCTATTATTTACTTGTTTTTTTTTAAATTTTGTCAAAAAAAATTTTTTTTTTAAATTTTAGACCTCAAAAATGCTTCTTCTCTCTTTATTTTTATTAATATTAAAAACTTTCTTTTTTCTAATTTTATTTATTACTTGCATTTCTTTTCTGGGCATAACTACAGGTGTTAGAAAGGCTTATGTTTATTTGTTGCTGTGGTTATTTGAGGTGTTTTTTTTTACTTAAAAAATTTTTTTTGATTAAATCGGACCTTTCTGATGTTGAAAAATTTTATTTTTCAAAAATCAGAATTTCTGAAAAATTTTCAGAATTAAAAAAATCAGAATTTTAAATTAATTCTTTAGCTGTACATTTAGGCGCCGCGTTTCTGTTGGCGCGCGCTTATAAAATAAATATTAAACGAAGACTTAGAGACTTGAAATTTTGTATAGATATTCTCAATAGTGTTAACTACACTCTCCAAAAATTTGAAATTTTTTGGTCAAGTATTTTCAAAGATATAGTCAAAAGATTGCAACAAGGGAAGAGTGTTGCGAGTAAATGTGTTATTCTGACCAGAACTTCTGAAATATCAGAACAAAAATTCTGAAATTTTTGTTGAAGATAAATATCCTTATTTTGAAGTTCTAAACGAAATTTCATGTCTCTGGGTTAATTTTTAGCCATTTTATAAGTCATCGCGCCAAGTGACTTTCGCGCCCAAACGTTCTATTCTGAAAAATATTTAAAAATTTTTTTTTAATTTTTTCTTCAGCAAATGGCCAAATTAGAAAAAGAAACAACAAATCCAACAACATTTAATATAGAAACAACTCCAGAAAAAAATTTGGAACAAAATTCTTCCCAAGAATCCTCCTCAAAAGAATCAACTCCCGCCACCACCCCCCAAGATTCTGATAAATTTTATGGAATAATTAAAAGGAAGTGGTCTAGAAATATTGAAAATAAATTGGTAGAACATGTGGGGAATTCTACTGTACATCCTTTAGCTCAAAAAGTTGCTAAAAGAGTTGCTAGTCATGCTAAAGGGTTGAAGTTGTTGGCGGAAGTGAGTTTTTGGGTGGTGTAACGTCTCATTGAGTTGACCCCGTAGTCATTGAGTTGAGTCATTGAGTTGACCCCGTAATTCAAAAAATTGTCGGGGAGCATAATGGTCAGAATAATTTCAAGGAGCATTGTGTCCTTTAATACTGACCATTCAGAGGGACACGCCGGCGCGAGGCCATAACGGCGCGAAGCCATAACTTGCTTCAAGATTTCTTAATCCTACCAGATTTAGTATTAAACGATTCCTCTCATCGAGTTAGGGAGATTGGTACCAAAATTGACAAGGGCAAGACATTTCCAGCAAGTTATGGCCGCGCTCCGTTTTGGGCTGTACCCCCATTTAGAAACGAGAGGAAAGAGATACTCTAGGGTTTCCCCATTTTCAATGCGTCTGACAAAATTTTTTTAAAAAAATTTTAAAGGAAGGCAATGAAATAAACGATGCTGAATATGCAACAATTAAAGTATTAGCAGCAGACACTCTAGCTTTTATTACTTCCGGAATTGAAGCAATCATTGAGGATGATGTAACTCAACGGTTTGAAGCTGCACAATTACCAACTTGGAATTTTTTGTCGAGGAGTAGGGGTGGATTGAGAGTTCGGTTAGCGATTGTTGATTGATAAAAAATACAAAAATATTTTAATTTATTCTAATAGACGCCCAACGAGGTTATTTAGGAATCGAGATTATCGTAGTGAACCTTCCAGAATCAAATGTCCCTTCAAATTTTTGGAGGGGTGTATGTTTATTGGAGATAGGCGTCTATTAGAATAATTTCATAAAAATATTTTTTATTTATTCTAATAGACGCCCATGGAGCTATGGATTTCTTCCCCCTATGGGACTCCAGACTCAAGTGTCTGGGGACGGACGATTATTAGAGATGGGCGTCTATTAGAATAATTAATTTTTTACAATAATATAAAGGTGGTATTCCTATTGTATTTGGGCTATTGGAGCATTTATTCGTTATGGCTTGCTTTTCCCCTTTCGCTTCTCAATTTTTATTTCTGCCAGTTTTTTAATGGGGACACTTCCAGCACTTGTTGGCTATATTCCCAATGAAAGGTGATTAAATTATATTTTTGTTAAAATTTAGAAAAAAATTTGCGGACAAAAATTTTTTGCGGATAAAATTTGCGGACAAAATTTTTTTGCGGATAAAATTTGCGGACAACATTTTTTTGCGGATAAAATTTTTTAAAATTTATTTTTAAGTCTCCGTTCATGTTTCTATCAACTATCAATGTTAATGTGTATGAGAATGTGTATGCGTGCATTCTCTACAATTATTACCTTTCATGGGGAAGAAAATAAGCCTAAAAATGGAATTTCTGTTGCAAATCATACTTCTCCTATTGATGTTATGGTGGGTTTTGAAGGGCACTTTAAGGTCACGCGAGCTCTAAAATACACATTTTTTAGATTCTCTCAACAGATAATTGTTATGCAATGGTAGGACAAAGACATGATGGTTTCCTTGGGTTAATCGAAAAAGCCTTGGATAGAGGAGCTCATCATATATGGTTTGAACGGGCTGAGAGTAAAGATAGGCATGCTGTTGCTAAAAAGTAAAAAATTTTTTCCAAAAACTCATTTCGCCAAAAAAACAAAATGTCCATTTAGACAAAAATGGACATTTTGTCCCATTTAACCAAAAATGGACATTTGGTCCATTTACCGTATTTACTCGATTAATTCCCCCGGGGAATTATTTTTTCAACCCATCCGTGGCATGGGGAATTAATCGAGGGAGGGGAATTATTCAAGGGAGGGGGATTATTAATTCAACCCTTTCATTAATTAAAAAAAACTGCGTGAAGTTTTGATGTTCTGTTTTCTTTTTTTCTTTATATACTACTGTCGCATCCTGCGAATTACTCATTTAATTAAACTTATGAAATTACGAAATCTGTTAATCACTGAAATTCTTTATTCACTTTCTCACACAAACTTATTACAAAATACTTTCCTGTAAATCAACCGCTATAAAAATAGCTGGCTTTTCCCCCGTTTTATCTATCTCATCGGTCTCAGCGGTCATTAAAATCTTTCCTTGGATCACAATCTGTCCCCTTTATTATAAAATTATATGCTTCTTCCCTTGTTAATTTAATTGTAATTTTCATTGTGAAATAAATAAATTATTAAACGTTCGAATTAATAATTAATTAGGAGTCCCGAAAATATAGGATCCATTTCCTACACTACTTTATGTGGTTACTTAACTCTTTATATACTAGAAATGGAAGTATTAGGACTATAGTACCACATGAGGGGTCATTTTATGATAATACGATACTAAGACATATATATTATATCACCAAGTTTGGAACCATATAAACTTACATGTGTGTACTTACATATTATTTTTTGTACTATCACATTCTCACAACATTTTATTCTTAGATAACCGTCCAAATCCACTGCTATCCTTTAATCTTCCGATACTTATGATATATATTAAATTAATTTAAAATTAATTTGAACTTTCTCAGCTGTTATACGAGAAAGGAAAAAAGAAGTAGAGAATAAAATGGTGTAAGATAATGTGATAGTGTCTTATTTTTATAATTATTTAAACACGTGGACACTCGACTCCACTCGACTGTTCAGTTAAAGATGAGATTACTTGTTTCAAACCCGATGGTAGTGACGTTTCGTTTAAGCAAAAATTCTGTTTGGAGGGAGGGGAATTATTCGAGGGAGGGGGATTATTGTTTCAACCCATCCGTGGCGTGGGGAATTAATCGAGGGAGGGGAATTATTCAAGGGAGGGGAATTAATCGAGTAAATACGGTAGCTAAAAATGGACAAAAGGTCATTTTAGCCAAAAATGGACATTTGGTCTATTTAGCCAAAAATGGACATTTGGTCCATTTAGCCAAAATTGGACATTTAGTCAATTTAGCCAAAAATGGACATTTGATCTATTTAGCCAAAAATGGACATTTTGTCACATTCAAGTTTTTGACTTTTCCCGCCATTTTCTAGGTTACAAGAACATGTAAAAGACCCAACAAAAATGCCTATTCTAATATTCCCTGAGGGGACATGTATTAACAACACTTCCGTTATGTTATTCAAAAAAGGGTCTTTTGAAGTGTCTTCTGTGGTTCATCCTATAGCTTTGAAATATGACAGCCGTTTAGGGGATCCTTTTTGGAATAGGTAGGTAGTTGACATTTTGAAAATTTTTCTTTTCGACATTTTGAAACCTGAAAAGCTCTAAAACTCTCGATATCTACCTTAATCCACCGCTATCCCCCTTAATCGCTTAAGATCTACTCATATCCACCGATTTCCGACTCGATCCCTTGATGTCACATACAGGTCCCTGATATTCACTTTAAGCCTTCCAAATCCAGGGATATCCCTCTTAAACCTTTTTTAAACTTATTAAATCGTGGGGACTCAGTTGAGGTATATACAAAAGGGGGAATCAATCGTGGGGACTCGATTGGGGTATACCGCTGGAAATGGCGATTTTGAAATTTGAAATTTTTCTATGTTGACATTTTGAAACATTTTTTAGTCACCGTCAAGGCTATTTGTCCTATTTACTTGGCATGATGACTTCTTGGGCCCTAATTTGTGATGTTTGGTATTTACCTCCAATGCATCGTTTGGAAGGAGAAACATCCATATCCTTCGCTAGAAGATGTCAAAGAACAATAGCCCAAAAAGGGGGTTTAGTAGATTTGGGTTGGGATGGAAATTTAAAAAGAACAAAAGTCCCGGAACGTTTGAGGGATGAACAAAAAGAATTATTTTATCAATATTTGGTACAAACAACCCCTATATGTGAATGTGGAAGGGCTAGTAATGAACAAATTGAAAGTATCCAAAGGGGGGTAAGTCTGTGTGGATTTCTTTTTTGTGGTTGAAAATAGAGCTGGGATCTTAAATTAAGAATGCTCGACTAATGTAAGAGTTAGAGATCGAGCTGGGTCAGGATCAAGGCCTGGGGTTTCCTCTACCCAGAGTTCAGGCCCAAGCACTTTATGACCTTCCTGGGGTTTTCCTGGGCCCAATTATAGATGCTCTATTATAGATTAAAAATACGGGGCAATGATTACGAGATTTTAAACTCCCCGTCTAGTCAATTGGAGGATCTCCTTTCTTCCGTATCCCACGCAAAGATATAGTTTTTGTGAGGTTTGGGGAGATTTTATTTTTGGGACTTCTCTTTCCTTGGATGTGTTTATTAGGAAAAAAATTTTTTGTCTTAAATTTTTTTCTAAATTCTATTTTAAAGATACACCCTGAAGTTTTTAATAATAACGAACAAAAAACAAATAATGAAGTCGAGAATGAAACGAATGGTGAAAATAAATGAAGAGATATTTTATACAGTATTTTCTTTGAAATTTTTTGACGGGTTTTTAAATGCTGCCTTTTACATATTTTTATTTTTATATTTCGCTAGATATTTTTTAAAATATTTTTTTATATTCTTGAAAACATAAAAAGATTACTTAAATTATTTTTTTATTCGAAAAAAATTTTATTTTAATTAATGAGCGGTTAAGTGTATGTATACGGACTCGCGTCAGTTTTCTTCCTCTAACTCTTGAACTCATAATCCTATCCAAACAAATTTTATGTCATTCGATAGAGAATTGAATTCTCTACAAATTAGGTTTAAAATAAAATTATAGTTGGAAAACTTTAAAAAAGTTGTAGTCGGAAAACTTGCCGTTGTTGAAGAAAATTGCCGATTTTAGCTAGTTTTTTGACCATAACCTTGTTGCGAGTTTATATAAAAATTTTGATTTTTATACCATTTTGTAGCAAATTCAATTCTCTATCGAATGGTATATAAAGGATTTCTGTAATCTAAAGTTGGTGGGGACTTTAGAGTCTTGAGGTAAACCGAGTCCGCATTGGAGAGAATTAAAACATTGAGAGTTTAAAGAATGAAAAAAACTCAAAATTTAATTTAAAAAACATTCCAAAAATATTTTTCAATATTCAACCCTTAATTTTAACTTGTTCCTTCTCTTCATTTTGAATTTTATTTGGTTCTGTAGGCGTTTTAGACTCCAAAGGTTGATTTAATTCCTTCGCTTTTACAAGCAAATTTTCTGTTTTTTCCCCATTTTCTTTTTCAATATTCTGATTTTCTGACTTATCAGAAGATTTAATTTCTTCTGTTTTTGGTTCCTGAATTCGTAATTACTTTTTAAACAATAATCATAAGGAGTTCCCTTAAGCGAGAGAGAGACAGATTAACTTGGGAAAACCGCGACTTTAGGCCACGACTAAAAATCATGAATCTACTGGGCTTAAGTAGATCATTGAAGTATTTTAATGGCAAAATTGGACGGGCTAGAAACTCGGACCTCACATACAATCGGACCTCAAAAATGAGAGAAAATTAAGGACTAGGGGAAAAGTGAGGCCTGACGGTGAGTGACGGTGAGTGAGGCCTGCACGAGACCATTTAATTCCTCGTTTATTTTTCCCTGTGTTGGCTCAAAAAGAGAAGGGAAAAATCCACCACAGTGAAAAATAAACGAGGAATTAAACGGTCTCGTTCTACCCTATTAAGGACAAGTGAACCAGCTTTGAAAAGTGAGGCCTGACTGTTTCAATAAATCACCTCGTTTATTGGCTTCTCTTGATTAATACCAATTTTTGGCTGTTCCGTAGCATTATTATACACAATAGCTTCCTTATTTTCTGCTGTATTTTTATTTGTTTCGATTTCTGGTTTTTCTTTTTCAGAAATTACAGAAACATTGTTGTTTGTATCTTCTGTTTTTGAGGCTTCTTTTTTCTCCTCCTCAACCTTGACAGATTGTTCTGTACCTTCCAAAGCATTAATAGAAGAGGTTACGGTAGATGTTGGTTGTTGTTCCTCTGATGCTTTTGTAGCGTTTTCGGTTACCTGAAAATTTTTTAAGTGTTTCTTAGATTCATTTTTATCCTCCTTAAAGAAATTTCAAGTTGGGAGGACATTAGACCTAAGTATCCCAAGCTTTCAGTTATTCCTTCTCGAAGGCATTATTTACCGTAATGTTTCTAATAGAAGCCCGTCTCCAATAGAAGCCCATTCCCTATTAGGGGTATTGAAAAATAAAGGCCCATGCCCCAATAGAAGCCCATGTCCTATTAGAAGCCAACTCAATGAGGGGTATTGAAAAATAGACGCCCAGGGCTTCTGTAAGAGACAATACGGTATCTACCCAAATTTCTGACTTATTCAAGAGGTGGGATAAGAAAAAGCTTAAAGAAGGTCTTGGGTCTGGTTTAGGTCTTTTTGAGGTCTAGGGTCTTCTTCTTTTTTTACTTTAATCTCTGTTATCCCAGTTGAATTTTTTATTTCTTCCGTAGCTGGGGAGGTTGAGGCTTCTGTTGTTGGGGAAAATGGGGTTGACTCTATTGTCGATTCTATTGTTGATGCTTCTATTGTTGTAGACTGTGTTGCAGTCTTTGGAAGTGCCTTCAGTTTATTTTTATTTCTAATAGCCTCGATTTGTGCCAAAATTTTTTCTCGACGAATTTTTGCACGTTCTTGTCTCTAAAATAATTTTTGGGGGGAATTTTGAAAATTAAAAAAATTTTTCAGAAGACTTCCCAATACAAAGCATCTGCATTCTTTCCGTTCTTGGTGTCTGTCTCCCGGAAATTTGGGCACCAAAAATTTGGACACTGAAAAAACAAAAAGAGAGATTTATTGGTGCCCAAATTTCTTTTTTTTTATATTTTTAAAATTAATTTCTTTCCGGAAAATCCGAAAACAAGGCATTAACTAGACTCAGTAACAAATGCCAATCTATAGCTTATAACTCAGTAAATAATTAATCTCTTGAGATGAGGTATATATCATTCGATAGAGAATTAAATTTGCTACCAAATGATGGGAAATCAAAATTTTGGAAAAATCCTAAAAAATGTTCCAGCCAAAAAACCAACATTTTAGCCTATTTTCAGGAGTATTTTGACCACAACTTTTTTGTTCGTTTATGTAAAATTCTGATTTTTATTTCATTTTATAGCAAATTCAATTCTCTATCGAATGATACCAAAACTATGCCAAGATATTCATGTTTTCTTCAGTTATGTCCAAAAATTCGTTCTCACCTCCTTCCTACGCTCCGCAAACCACTTTTTCATTTCAACCCTTCTATCAGCTAAAGGTAACTTCATCCAACGTTTATATTCTTCCTGGAATCTCTTAACCCTTTCTTTACGTTCCTCACTTCGCTTTTTAGCTTCAGCACGGGCTTCTTCCAATTTAATTTTCCATTCCGGCATAGGCGTTTGGGTGATTTCCTTTAAGATTTTTTAATTTTTTTAATTAAAAAATCTTCAAAAAACTAACAAGACAAGCACTCGATTTTTCAAAATTTTCAGATTTTTCAGAATTATTAGACAAAGAAGTCGGCTTTTCCGTTTCTGCTTCTATTAAGTTTTCCCCGTTGCATAAAGTTGTAGCGGAAATAAAAATAATAGCAAAAAATAAAGAAAAGGGTGTTAGCAACATGTTTTAATTAAATTCTGAAATATGTACTTATAATTAAATTAAATCAGAATTATTCCAAGTTTATTTAATTCTCAAGTTTATTTAATTTCAGAACTTGTTGTAATTTAATTCTGATTTAAATGAGAAAAATCAGAATTTAAATTGAACATATTCTGGTTTTTTTCTCATTTAAATCAGAATTAAATTACAACAAGTTCTGAAATTAAATAAACTTGAGAATTAAATAAACATAATTATTTAAAAATCAGAATTTTGTGTTTTCGATAATTCTGATTTCAAGTTTAATTTCTGGTTTTGAGTTTGTTTATTCAAGTTTAATATTATCCGATCAGAAAATGAAATCAGAATAAAAACAGAATTAATATCAGAATAAAAATCAGAATTGAGAACAGCTTTCTCTCGTTTTGATAAAATCAGAATTAAAACCAGAATAAAAATCAGAATAAAAATCAGAATTAAAGCAGAATTGAGACCAGAACTAAAATAAGAGTCGAAGTCAGAATTAATTTCAGAATTAAAGCAAATTTATGATCAGAATAAAACCTAGAATTTAACCAGAATTTAAACCAGAACTAAAATCGGAATAAAAACCAGAATAAAAATCAGAATTTAACCAGAATAAAAACCAGAACTAAAACCAGAATAAAAACCAGAATAAAATCAGAATAAAAATTTGAACTATAAATACAAGAAATTCTGATTTATTCTGAAAAGATGTCCATTATAGGTAAATAATATTACCAAAAAATTGAGTGAATATATTTTTAATAGTTGAGGAGTCGATAAGTATCTGAACGTTTTGAATGAGAATAAGGAAGGAAGGAGGGTTTAGTGTGTGGTCGTCGGTCATTTTTGCATGTATCTTTTTTTTGATTTACCGAGGTAGGTCAATATTTAATTGTAGTGAGGGGAGGGATTGCTTATTATCTATAAGTTCTGTTTTTGTACTTTTTATTTTATCCCCAAAAGATCAACAGAAAAATTTTGTAAATTTGATTAAAGAAAAATTTTAGGTTTAAAAAATTATTAAAAAAATTTTGAACTAAAATAAGTTCAGGATTTTTTAGACGGAAAATGCGGACAGTTATATGGGGTGGGAGTAGATTGGAAGTAGATTGAGAGTGTCCTCTTTTTGAGAATGGATTATACGAGATACATATTCCTAGAATATTGCCCCAGAATCCGAGATTTCTGTTCGTGATCTTGTCTCGATCGGGTCGTAATTCCCATGTCTATGATAGTTTCAATAGAGCAGGAAAACCAAGTATTGGATACTTAATGCCGTTCTTTTTAATTTTAAATAATTTTTAATTTTGTCTGCAAATGTGTGTGGATTATTAATAAAATTAAATATACCCTATTAAATACACCTCAACTTCCGAAAAAACATAAGAAATTATTCAACTCTAATCTGAGATGTAAAAAATTTTTCTTGAGAATTTTGCCCGATTTTCCTCCTTTTTTTACCCAAATTTTTTTCAAAATATTTCTTTTGTCGTCATTTTATTCCAAATATTTTTATCTACAAACACCCATTATTCACACAAATTTATCCAAAAAATGTACTTTTCTTTGAAGAAAATGATGGAATGTTTTGTTTTTCTCAAAATAAATATAAAGTAAATTTAGTTAAAAACGTGAAATGTTTACCCCTAAAATTTAAAAAAATAAAAAGTTTATTTTTTGGAGAATTTTGAAAGAAGATAGGTTTTGTCCGCAAATATTTTGCAGAATCCGCATTTTGAGTTGATATAATTTTTTAAAATTTCCTCAAAACTTTTAAGACCTTGGAAAAATTCCGTCATTTCTCCCAGAAACCAATTCGGACAAACGATATGTCATTCGAAAGAGCTCGCCGAGCTGAGCCGAACGACACCAAAATTAGCTTCGGGACTCACATATGGACCAAGTTATAGGTCCCTGAAAATCGAAAAACCATAGGGGGGAGTAAGCTGATTTTTGGGGTGAAAAATTCGATTTTTCGAATGATAGCTCATTCGAAAGAACTCATCGAGCTGAGTCGAATGACATATTGTTTGTCCGGATCGGTTTCTGGAAGATATGACGGAATTTTACCAAGACCTTTAAGCCTTGAAACTACCCCATACATTAAAAAAATTAAAATAATTTTTTGTCCGCAAATATTTTGCAGAATCTGCATTTTTTATTTGCAGAATCCGTATTTTTGTTAATATAATTTTTAAAAATTTCCTCAAGATTTTTAGACTTTTAAGGCTTGGAAATACCCCATATATTAAAAAATGAGAAAAAAATTTTCTCTTTAAAATACCTTAAAAAGAAATATTTGCGGACATAAAATGCGGACATTTACCTAAACATTAAATTTATATTTTAAAAAATTTTGATAATTTTTCTTGAGGCAATTTTAATTTTCCCCCATCATTCTTTATTTTTTGCTTTTTTATTTTTTAACCTTAACAGCCTTTTATGTGTGGCTTTAGGATATTCCCCTGTGTAAGCTTAAAAATTATTCCCTGCCCTCACGTGGCACATTCTTCAAAAATATTTTTTTTCTATTGTCTTTCCCTTTCAGGCTTTTATTTTAATACAGCCATTGTTTGATAGGAAAAAAATTTTTTTAATAGAGGGGAACATATAGGAGGTTAGTCTGTGGATAACTTGTTCTAAATTATCAAATTCTGAATCTGAGCAAGGTTTTAGTTCATCTTGTTGAGATCCCTTCATCGCACTGTAAGGCATCCTGGATTTGAGATTTAAAAAAATTTCAAGAGGTCAGTTCTCAAAAAATATTTTTTCGCAAATTTTTGTACGGAAATATGTTATCCGCAAAAAATTATTTTCCGCAAATATTTTGCAGAATCCGCAAAAATTTTTTATCCGCATAATTTTTGTCCGCAAGTTTTTTCGTCCGCAAATTTTTTCGTCCGCAAAAAAATTTTTTTTATCCGCAAAATTTTTTTTTATTTTAAAATAAAATTTTTTTGGCATTTCTCTATTTTACATATACCTAATTTCTTTTAATAAGTCTCAAATAATTTTATTTTTTTCCTTTATCTTTTTTTTTATTTAAATTTGTGTATGTCTAGTTTAATTGGAATTGTTTTCTCTTTTATTTAAGCCGAGAGGGAATAAAAGAAAAATAAAAATGGGGCCAAAAAGGCATGCCAGAAAAAAAATCTAAAAATAGTAAAAAAATTTATTCTATATTACTAAAATTCCAAAGACGTTTTTTGTTTAAATTTAATGCATTTCCTTGTATTTCCTCTGGAATTGTTACAATTTTTTTTAATTTAAAAAAGAATTAATAAATTAATAAAAAATCCCCCTCTTTGCTTCAATTCCCTAAACTGAAATATTTTTTTATTTTTTTTTTACTTCCTTATTATTTTTTGGGGAAAATTGCATTTTTTTCTGAAATTTATTTTTTTCTGTTTAATTTTTATTTTTTTCAGGTCAGAAAAAAAATTTCCGGGTTTTACAAAAATTGAAAAAAAATTTCCCCTGAGGCAATAAAATTTTAGAAAATAAAAACAAAATGTTAAACATTCAGTGTTGGATAGTTACAAATATTTAGAGGAGTAAATAAGGCAATATAAAGCATTAAAAGGGAGATTTATTTGTTGAGTTGAGTAAGTTGCCCACGTTATGAACAGAAAAAATTTTTTCCAAATCCCTCGGTTGTTGTCAGATGGAGGATTGCTGTTTCAAGCCAACGTCCGCTTCGAGCCGACGTCTGATGCATTATTTTCGAGCTAGGGGGTTTTTCGATTTGGTTCGTTTTAAGTCGTGTTACGTGTCTTTTTCGAGCTAGACAGCCTCGGATTGCTCGATCCTTCATCTCTCTTTCGTGCCTCTCTCTTTGAGCGGGCTCGCGACCCTTGTCTGTTGGGTAGATTTTGGGTAGCTCAGGATTTCTAATATGTATATTTTTTTGTTTTTTCCAAAACTTTTTTATTTTACTCTCAATTGTTTTCAACTTGAAGTTTTTGTTTTTAATTTTGTTTTTGTTTTTCATATTTTTTTGTTTTTTTTTATTTTTATTGTGCCTCTAGGGAAATTTAGAAAATTGTTTACTATTTATTACGTTTTGAGTCCCCATATTTATTTTTAAAATATTCTATTAAAATTATTTTTGCTTTTAATTAAAATTGAAAAAAGGATTAGGAATTATGCAGAAATAAAATTTCTAAAAAATTTTTTCACAAAATTAAAAAAGGAAAATGCGAGAGCCTTTACATTCCCTCAAGGCACGGTTCTTGTGTGCGCCTTTCCACATAACTTTTGTAAAAATTATCCGATTTTTATAATTTTGGTATCATTCGATAGAGCAGGAAATTAGCTACAAAATCAGCCCAAAACCAAAAATTTATTTTGTATAGACCTAGAGTTATGGTCAAAAAACTAACTGAAGGTGAATTTTTGTTAGTCTTTAGACCTCAACTTTTCGCTTTAATTTTTTCTAAATTGTTTAAAAAATTATTTTTTGTTGCAAATTTAATTTCCTATCGAATGAAGCAAAAATTTCCCTGAAAAATTAATTTCATAATGAAATTTTTGTTTTAATGTTTTTTGGTTACAGGCTCATAATGGTCAGACTTGATTAAATTTTTCTATAATTTTTTTAAATTTTTTATAAAATTTTTTATAGTCCCTAATTTTCTATTTAATTGTCCAAATATTTTTTTATGACGAAAATAATTTTTAAAAACAAAAAAGAACACTCGAGAATTGCAAACCAAACAAATAAATAGTCTGACCGGCAAACAATTAATAAAAAAACTTTTTTTCCAATTTATTTCTACTTCCTGTTCTCTCGCCATAAAATTGAAAATTTCTTTTGTTTAGTGTTAAAAAATATTTTTAAAAATTATTTAAAGTGCAATACTAACAGAAAGAAAAATTTTTTTAAAGTGAAAAACCCTTTGTTTATAATTTAAAGTTCTTGAGAGTAAAGAGTTTGTAGTTCCTTTCCCGCAGATTTTTGCTTTTCTTTATTTCCTTTTTTTATTTTTTTTGTTTTAATAATGTGTTAAGATGTTTATTTGTTAAAAAATAATTTTTTAAAAATTTTATGTCTTTCCAAATACTTAAAAAATATTTTTTTCACTCACTAACACTAAGGGTGTTCGGGTGAGTTGGCGCTTGCGCGAATGCTTATAAAATGAAGATAAGAGGACCTAGAGACATGAAATTTTGAATTAAAAGCTCTAATAGTGTTAGGTAACAGATCTGAAAATTTCAGAATTTTTGGTTTTGTATTTCAGAAGTTCTGGTCGAAAATGTCAGAATTATTGAGAGAAAACGCCGATTTTTGTCACTTTTTCTTCCATAACTTTTTAAATAAATAACCAAAAATTCTGAAATTTTTAAAGACATTAGATAACACTATTAAGAATATTTGCACAAAATTTCACGTTTATAGGTTATCGTATGGCTAAGTTATGAACCTACGCGCAGCGTCATTCTGCTTCTCACTGCTTCCCCAAACGTCACACTTCCCTAAAAAGTTTACCTCATTTGTTAGAAAAAGTTTTTAAAAAGTTTTAAAAATTCCTTTTGTCTATAATCAAGCAAATAAACTCCATAAAAGTGTAAAAAAATTTTTTTAAACAAAATTTACGGTTCATTAATTCTGTATTTGTCTGCACATTTTTATTTAGTAATTTAATTTAATTTTCGCCTAATTTTATTTTTATAAATTTAAGAAATTTTTGGAAAATTATTTAAAATAATAAGCAAAATTGTCTTTAAAAATGTCATTTCCTTTCCAATTTCCTTTTTAAGTTTAAGAAAAATTTTAATGGTTTATGTTCATTTATGTTCCATAATGACGCGTGGTTCGTTAGCTGGCGGGATTATATAAACTAACCTAGCGAGCACCTAGAACCTTAAAATTTTGCTCAGATATATCTGATAGTGTTATCTACCTTCTTTAAAAATTTCAGAATTTTTGGTTCATAATTCCTAGTAGTAGGTAATAATGTATCTAAAGGCGACACTTTTTAAACTAATTCTGATATTTTGACCAGAACTTCTGAAATAAAAAACCAGAAATTCTGAAATTTTCAGACATTGTATATAACACTATTAGAGATATCTGTACAAAATTTGGTGAGTTTAGGCACTCTTTAGGCTTTTCTATAAGCTTGCGAACATTCGTGGTACGCGTCTTGAAGCTTCTTATCTACTGGAGAACTTCCTCGTTAAAATTAAATATTTCTAATTTAATATTTATTTTTAACTAATTAAATACTCTATTTTTCAGTTAAAAAAATAAAAATGATTACCAGTAACAGTAACGGAGCTATTCAAATTTCTATGCGCAACGACGGGCAGAACGAGCTTATGGGAATGTTACCAACAGAAAATGTTGAAAATAATCATCGACTGGCTTTTTCCACCTGCCAAGCAGAAATGCCTAATATTGTAATTAAATTTGTATTAAAAAAATTTTTTTTCAAAATGTCGAAAAAAAATTTTTTCAAAATGTCGAATTTCAAAATGTCAAAAATTTTGAAATTAATTTTTTTTCAAAATGTCGAAAAAAAAATTTTGTCAAAATGTCGAAAAAAAATTTTTTGTCAAAATGTCAAATTTCAAAATGTCAAAATTTTTTTAAATTAATTTAGGTACAGACAACAAATAAACCGGTCGTTTTAATGACAGCCTCGGAGCTAAAGTATAACAGATCTACAGAAAATAATGGAGAGAATAATGGAGGGGGACCTGGATTGTGTACTGTAGGAGTTAGACATTTGGAGTTGAAAAATTGAAAATAAAATTTTTAAAAAATTCTAGTTTCTTTTTGTATTTTAATTTAAAAGAGGGTATACCTTGAAGATCAACCTTGACTCGATTTTATAAAAAAAGAGTATATTAGTGAGAATATTTTTTGAATTTTAAGTAGCAGTTTATTAGAGAGGTTGATCTCTGGGTATAATAAAAAATATATTGAAGCAGACTTGCACATAGACACGGATTTTGGTATCCGGATCCCTCCCCCCTTTTGCTTCATTTGGGAGACATTTGCCCCGTTTTTGACCTTCTGCCTCCTTTTTGACCCCCTTTTTGCCACATTTTATACATTGCCCCCTTTTTGGGAAGCCATGCCCCCTTTTGGTAATTAGGAAAGGGTCCGGACCCTGATTCTGATATATCCGACGAACATACATAGGCATCAGAATATTATCTGTATCCATGTCCTTATCCATGTGCTAGTCTGTATCAGAGGTGGGTCGGAATTCCTTTCCTTCCGATTTCCGAAAAAATTTTGATTTCCGGTTTCCGAGTTCAGACTTTTGAGCCAGTTCCGATTTCCGGCTCTTCCAATTCCCGACACCTCTGACTGTTCCGACCCACCTCTGGTCTCTATTGAAGCTTTTCTCGCTTTATTTTACAATTACATTACTCTGATTTTTAAAGAGATTACCTATACATATTATACACAAATGAATTTAGAGAATAAATATAACAAATATTTAGTTAATTTTCTTAATTTCTCCTTCCTTTTTTTAAATCTTCTTCCGATTTAAAAAAAATAAAAATTTATTTAAAAAGGCTATTAAATGCCTTTAAATAATTAAATAAAAATTTTTCCTTTTATTTAATTCATTAAATTAATTTCTTTCCTTTTTGTAAAATGCCGATTTTTTGTAATTCATTATTCTCTCCTTTCTTTTTTAGTAATTTCCGCCTTTTTGATGAATAATTGAAAGGAAAAAGAAAGGCATTTTTGGATTAGTTAGAAGGTTGGAGAATAAATACAAGATTGATTTTTAGTTAAAAATGTCCGCTAAATTATTTTTGCGGACAAAAGTTGCGGACAAAAAATTGACTCTAAAAAATGTCCGCAAATAAATTGCGGACAAAACTTGCGGACAAAAATTGTCCGCAAAATTATTTTTGCGGACAAAAATAATTTTGATGATAAAACTTGCGGACAAAAAATGTAAATTTAATTTTTATAAGAAACAAAGAAAAATACAGTAAAATAAATTAGAAATATTTAAAAATAAATTTAAAAAAAATAAAAAAAATTAAATAGAAGTATGGCTATAGAAGCGTCGAAGTCACAAGCTTCGACGAGTCGCAATACCCTCATTCAAAGCAATTTTGACGATTTTTTTGGGAGATTCTAATAATTTTCCATTTTGTTTGTCATTTTCTTCTCCCATTTTTCCAAATTTAAGAGAATCTGGAGGAGAAAAAGATTTTCGAACACTCACAAAATCTGAAAAAAATTTTGTAGAATTTTAAAAATTAATTAAAATATTTACCAGTTATTTTTGTTTGTTTTTCACTAGAAGAACAAGAATTGTTGTTATTGGAAATATTTAGAGAAAGTCGGCGTCTAGTAGGTGTTCGGACAGAATTGAGATGAAATGGAGGTTTCCGGAGAGATGAACGAATTGGGGAGTTGGCTATAAAAATATAAGATATATTTTCCGGAAAAGAGAAATATATTTTAAAGTTTTCCGGAAAAGTTGGAGTAATATTTGTTATATTAAAACTTTCCGGAAAAGTATATTCTAATTAATATATAAATTTCCGGATAAGTTTATATTAGCCTTCCGGAAAGAATAATAAAAATTTAGACAGTTTCCGGAAAATATAAAACATTTTCAGAAATATTCCGGAAATATTCTAATGAAGATTATATAGAATTTCTAAATTCCGGAAAAATTTATATTATTAATTTTCCGGAAAATATAACTATAAATATTTTTCCGGAAAAGTTTATATTGTAATACAACAAATAATAATCAGAATTATTCATTTATTTACCTAAACATGTTGTTGTTAATTCGCCAGAATTATTTTGAGAACAACAATTATTTAATTCTGTTTTGTTTTTGCTTCTAAAAAATTCTTTCCCCTCGTTATTTTTATATTTTAATGTTTTTGTTGTTCTATAAAATCCCGGTACTTGATCGGCAGGTACCCGTTCAAATTCAAAACGACTTTTTTCCAAAGGTTTACATTCATCAAAATCAAATCCCCATTTTTGTTTATAATGTTCAGACAATTCATTTAACCAATTTTGGACAAATTGCTGAAAATTTTGAGGGAAATTTTATTTAATTTTTTAATTAAAATTTAAATTTACTTTATTTATTTCTTTATTTTCTTCCCCTCCCCCTCCTCCTTCTTCAAAAAATAAACGTCTTCTAGCAGTCGAAGAACGTTTATTAATATTAAAATTCTCATTATTTTCTTCCAAATTTTCTTTATTATTTTTGTCTTCATTATTAATATGCCATTGATGCCAAATTGGTCTAGTTATTTGGGACTAATTGGTGATATATAGAAGGGGAGAGGATTTTTAATTGCATTTTAATTGAAGAAGAAAATATTTTTTTGAAAAAATCTTTTTTGTTTGTGACTCTAAAAATATTTAAAAATTAATTTTTGAAAAATTCAAAAATTCTTATTAAGGAGAAAAAATTAAAAAATCACTAATAATATCATTAATTTCTTTTTATCCCCTCAAATCCCTCCTTAATCCCCTCAAAGACCCCTTAACATTCAAAATCCCTCTTATTGCCCTATATCAATTACCACACAACCCAAATCCACTTATAACCCCTCTTTAATACCTGTACATACATATAACCTCAATCGTTGGAAAATCCTTGGTTTCTGTTAACCGAAGATATCCCAGATCCACGTATACCCCCTATACCCCCTCAATGCCTATATAACCGCAATCGTTGGAAAATCCTCGGTTTCTGTTAACCGAAGAATTAGGTGAAACCGACAACTCTAGTTTTGATTAAAAATATTTTAAATTAATTTTGATTTAAAAAAATTCTTTTAAATCAAAATAAAATTATTATGGGACAATTATAAAATTAAATAAATTCAAGAAAATGTCCCTTTTTAAATAAATTTCCATGAGAACATACAAGGAGAGTATTGCATGCGCGGTGTACAAGTATGCAATTACATCCAACGGGATTGAAAGGGGAAAATTGAGAGAAAGTAGCAAAAACCGGTCAAAAGGTCAGCGTCGGCGTGGGTATATTTGAATTGTTGGAAGAATTGGGGGAGTGGGGCAAGAGTAATAAAAAAAATTGGAAAAAAGGAAGGGGGATAGTGGTAATCGAGAATAATGAAAGGGGATTGAGAGGCCTTTGGGGCTTTTATCCTTTATATTATAGGACTAATAAATTAACAAAAGAATTATTCAAAAATAATGACAAATAGAGGAGAATAGAAGGATTGAGTGGGGCACAGTCTCTGGATTTTATTGGGGGGGGGGGGGGGTTCCTGGACTTTTCTGAGTTTGGGTTATTTTTTTGGGATATCCAAGTTCTAATTAAGGCTCCGAAATATTTTTTCTTCAAAATTTATCCCCAAAAACTGGCCCAGACTCCTTCCCCTAATAATAAAAGGAAAATTAGTTCAAGCCTTAGCACTAAGAATAACCCTAATTAAATTATTAATTATAAATTAACTAGAATGCACTGAACTGTTAATTAATTACCCTTCTCTCTAAAAACAGCTGAATAGGCTCAAGTGCCAACTGTTCAATTAATATGCATCACTTGATTTAAAAAGGGGTTTTCACAGCTTACCATACTAATTAACTATTGGATTTAATAAAATAATGGAATAATAAATAGATTTGAGTTACCTCTATCCTAGATACCCCCAATATTAGGCACTCTCAATTTAAGGTCATTTTTCAAAATTAGGTAGGCCATTAGGTGGGGGAGCTGTCTAAGCATCCTCGCCATTTTTAGTAGTGTTGCACCCCGACCCCGTTCCCCGACCCCGTTCCCGAACGATTTTTTCACACTTCTCCCCGTTCCCCGACACATCCGCCCCAAGCTTTCGGGGTGTAACCCTAATTTTTAGGCAAAGCCTCCTCACCCAAATTTAAGATAAGGCACAATTTTCTTCTATCTCAGGGCAGTATTTATAATCGACCCTCGACTGTATAAATAATATTTTTAGAATTTTTATTACTTCAATATTTTTAAAAAAATTTTAATAATTTTTTTCTGTCATTTTCCCTTTATAATTTCCATCATCTACCTAATCAGCAACCCCTTTTTTCCCATCTCTATTATTCTCCATCACAAACCCTTATACTAGTAAAAAGCTTATAAAAAGCCTAATGGACAGAATAAGCTTTTATTGGTCTATAGTTAACATCTGTGGCCACAAAAACAGTCAAAAAAGGTGGAAATTGAAGAGTGAATAAAAGCTTTTTTCACAGTGTAGAGGGGAGGAAAAGCTATAAAAATTGAGGGGAAGGGAGGAGGGGAAGGGGAGAGCATTCTCTAAAGCATTCCCAAATGACCATCAATCAAAACAAGCCTAATAAAAACACTAAGGGGTTATTAAAAAAATATTTTTTCTCAATATTAGTGGGTGGCATTAGTTGGAAAATATGCAAATTTTAATAGATCTGTCAGATTAATAAAATAGATGTAAAAAAAATAGAAAAATGAACAAATTGTATTTTTATTAAGGGAGGTTAATTGTTGTTCTGAGCAAACTGTCACCGATCTTCTGTCCTCAAAAACGGGCCGGGAATAAATTAAGGCTTCCCAATAAATTTTGGAGGTATGGAATCGGTTTTTAAAATCCATTGAAATTATTTAAAAGATTTTTTCTATTGTTTCAATTTCCAATATAACTTTTCGATTCTTTCACTGTAATCGGAGGTCGATCGAAATTCCGATTTCCGACCTTTTCTACCTTCCAATTTCCGAAAATTTGAGCTAATTTCCGATTTCCGACTTTTGAGCCATTTCCGATTTCCGACAGTTCCAATTTTTGGCACCTTCGAACTTTCCGATCGACTTCTGATTGTAATTAATTAATTACCTCGCCTAATAATACTAATAAATTAAATTTTAATTATTCCTACTGTTGAGGCTTTATCTAAAATTAATTTTTTCATCATTTTATCGAGGCCAAATACAGTGAGGTGCATATGTTTATGCCGCTTGTATAAAACATCATAAAATTTTCTAGGATAAATCAATGTAGACATTCTTGGTCTTAAAAAATAGTTTAAACGATAAATCAGTTGACATCTTTCGGCATTTTCTTCAAGTTCGACTTTTCGACCCCTTTTAGACTGGTCGAACGAACAGCCCATTTGCTGGATCTTTGGAAAAATTTTCTAAAATCTTGCTGATTTTATATATGATTCTCCGTAAAATTCCGAACAAAATGCAAAAAACCGCATTCGAAATGCTTCGGCCCGAACCGAGATATGATTTTTTGAAAATCGAAAAAATAGCTATTTTTCCGAGTTTTTGGTGTTTTCAGCTGTTTTTTTCGATTTTCAAAAAATCATATCTCGGTTCGGGCCGAAGCATTTCGAATGCGGTTTTTTGCATTTTGTTCGGAATTTTACGGAGAATCATATATAAAATCAGCAAGATTTTAGAAAATTTTTCCAAAGATCCAGCAAATGGGCTGTTCGTTCGACCAGTCTAAAAGGGGTCGAAAAGTCGAACTTGAAGAAAATGCCGAAAGATGTCAACTGATTTATCGTTTAAACTATATTTTAAGACCAAGAATGTCTACATTGATTTATCCTAGAAAATTTTATGATGTTTTATACAAGCGGCATAAACATATGCACCTCACTGTATACCATAAAATAAATATAATCAAACACAGTACAAGATATAAAATCAGAAAATTGAGAAGGGAGAGACTATCAAGAAGGCAAACAAATTGATAATAAAAATATACTATTCGAGAATTAAATATTTAAATAAATTAATAGGGCAATAATGGGTGGTATTTAATAAATAAATTAAAGATTGAGAAAATTGATAAGAAAAAAAATAAAAAAAATATTTTAAAAAAAAGGGAAGGGTTTTATTACTTGGTGTGGTCAGTCATTTAGAGAGAGACGAGATTTGGGCAAGTGCCAATTTGTTGAAGGCTTTTTTTGTGTTGTAATAGCGAGGACCTTGAAGTGTTTCTAATAAATTGTGGTTAAAGAAAAATATTTTTAAAAAAAATATAATGGTGATTGATGGAATACTTTTTTGCGGTTTTGGCAGCTTAATGATGTAGAAAAGATTAATTTTTATTAAAAAATAAAAATATTAAAAAATAAATTGGGAAGAAAATAGAAAAATAAAAGTGAAAAATTATTGTTGGTAATTTATTAGGTGATATTTTGGGTAGAAACATTTGTTTCATTGTTTTGTTTTTAATGAACAAAACATTTTCAATAAACAAAACATTTTTTACTTGTATAAAACACACAAACAATTAATTGTTTAAGGAATAAAAATAAAACAATAAAAACATCAAAACATTAGTAAGAGAAAAATAACATAAAAATAAAAACATGTTTAGTATTAAATAAGTAATGTTTGTTTAAATTAAAAGTATGCATGTTTAGACAAACTAATGTTTGTTTATATTTATAATATAATGTTTGAGGCAGAAAAGTTTAATAAAACATTGAAAAAAAACATAAAAACAAGTTTTATAAAACAAGGTTATAAAAACATGTTTCAACTTTCCAACTTGTTTGCCAACTTGTTTTTATTTTTTTACCAACTTGTTTTTATTAAAACAACCTTTTCTCTTACTTCACTTAACTTTTTATAAAACTTGTTTTTATTAAACTTGTTCTTATGCATTTTTCAACAATGTAACAAGTTTTATTTTTATTGCAAGTTTTATAAAAAGCTGAAAGGAACAAGTTGGGAAATTAAGTTTTAATAAAAACAAGTTGGTAAAAATCAAACAAAAACAAGTTTGTAAAGTTGGAAACAACATGTTTTTATAAAGCAGGCAAAGTTTTTATAACATCAATTAAGTTCAACAAAGTTACTAAAATTGTTTTAAATAAACAAAAACAAATAAGTTTGCAATCTTAAAAATAATTTATCTCAAACTTCAAGGTCGAGAATGCGCGGCATTATTTTTTTTCATTCAACAAGTCAACTTTTTAGATGACAAAAAGAAATATTTTTTTCCTTTTCATAAATCATCAATTTCTTTTAATCTTTAGCGCTCAATCTCGGCATTTATTTTTTATTAAAAATAAATTTAGAAATAATATATAATGGATATATTGAAGGGAGAAGACAAAAAATCAAAAATATTTTAATTTTTTTTAAAATATTTTTTTTGAAATTTTTTTAGAAATTTAGAAAAAAATTTTTTCTAAAATTTTTCCCACAAAAATTTTTTCAAATTTTTTTGGTAACGTGAATTCTTTTTTCTATTATAAAAAATATTTTTGCACATTTTTAAAATATTTATTTTAATATTATTTATTATTTTCTTCATTTATTTTTATTTTTTTACTGAAACAATGAATGTTGTTCTTCCTTTCCTCCCTCTCTTTATTTATTTATTATTTATATTTTTTAAATGTTCCTTTTTAAAAATTGTTGTCATCTCAAATTTATTTTTAATTTTGATTTTCTTTATTTCTTTAATCCCCTTCTAGAAAACCACAAAAATTTCGCGCGCCAAATTTCCAACATTTTGAGGGGTAACGTGAATTCCTTTTTTCTAATTTTTAAAGCTTTCCCTTTCGCGTTCAATTTAAAAAAATGTTCAGAAGGAAGGGGGTTATAAAATTTATAAGAAAAATGGGAAAGAAATGATCGGTGGTCTTTACTTTGTGGTTTTT